TAGAAATGGTATGTCGATCCAAATCTTTAAACGATAGTTTATCATATCAGAAATATAACAAATCTGCGAAAGATACAGTGTATTCTTTTCTAGAGTGACAAGTTTTTTTAAGTAATTTAGCAACAATGACTTATAATTAGGACTATCTTATCGAAAGATGGATAAAATATTATTCGAATTTTTCTGAATGCAATTTCTGTTAATATTAACGTAATTAAAATAAGTAACATTTTTCTGTCCTTTATTAATATATACATGTACAGTTATACAATCTTCTCATATCTTTTCTTCTGTCATAAAAAACGCGAATTTTCATTGATAGTAAGAATACAAATTTAATAGCATATGCTAATAACGAGAGGGTTTGCTCGTACGAACCAAGTATCAGATGTCTGAGGTTTTCCTGGCCGATCCTGATTTCTTGTCCCGCGCTCCGCGGTGATCTATGGATCAGATCGCGTTCGTCGAACTGGGCAACGCGTGTCCGTCCCCCTCGCGCGTCTACTTTATTGTCGGACCTCAAATGAGAATTTATGCAGACATAAACGCTCGTGTCAGCAATGCACCCCGTTTGGGTGGAGGGGGGGAGGGGGGACACACCGTTGAGCAGGCATCTATCACGCGGCGATGCCGACCTGGCCGTTCTGCCTGCAACGCATTGCGAGTCCTTGTCGCGCAGGATTGTTCGGTATTCGAGAAATGTCGGGCACCGAGTGGCAGAAGACACCTCATTCGCGGAAGGAAGGGTGAGAAGCGTCTCTCGGAGAATTTCGCGCAATTAATCTGCGCACATATTCAATCTAGAATAATCCCTTTTTCCGCTTAAAAGTTCAACCTTTTACGAAACCTTTACGAAACTCAAACAAGTTGTCGTTTTAATAATAATTTCCTGAGACTTGGAATAGCAAAGCAATCAATTGCTGTTCTCTACGTGTATACCGGGCGACAGCGCCCTTTTATATTAATTTCTAAGTTGGAATGTAATACAGCGCAGCGCGTCGCGGCGTTGAGCCGTGCAAACACGAAAGCGTAAAAAGCGATGTGCATTTTCGTTGCCACGTCTTTTCGACGATATTATTATCGGGACGTCCTCCGACGCGCGAAAGGTGCGCGCGAACACGCGCAGCTGGTAAAACGCGCCGGTAATAAACGACCGCGATGATTTTGCCCCGTGTCACCGCACCGAATTTAAAGTAGGCAACGCGCGACTTTGCCAATCTGAATAAAGGGAGCAATGCGCTCGATATGGCGACCGTGGCGTGGGCTAGATCGTCCACCTCCCCTCTTTAGGCTCGTAAATAAATGAAACCTACGAGAGAAGATACCGCGTTCGTCGGAGTGGCGCGTGCATAAATAGGCGGGGTTCGCATAAAAAGTGCGTGCATTCCCTCTCGCGGCGTGAATCATCGTAAAAGTGTTCGCCTGTTCAATATATTGTACTTACGCGGAGCATCTCCGCCAGACGAAAGAGCGTGGTTTCCTTTTGTCTGACACGCTGCATAATTCCCCCCCCCCCTCCTCTTTCCGTATGGCAAATCTTACCGGACGCGCCGTTCCACCGGTCGAACGAATATTTCAGTAATTTATTTGCATAACGCCGAGCAGAAAATCTCCATCCTTTCTCGTATCGATCCACCGGAATTCGATCTATTCATAATAAAAGAACGGATATGTTTCTCGAGTTTATTTCCACATGTGCGTGATATGTTTTCCATCGATCGTTGTTGCATGGCGAAAATAATTAATCCAACATAATCGTGGAAATATTAAAACAGAAAAATATATTGTCAAATATGTTAAAGGATGAAATTTAAACCGAATACGTTAAGTTAAATAACACTTTGTTATTTTTAATTGCCATGTGTGTCGAATTTATTATTTTCAAGTTTAAACAAAACAGTATTATTTTAACTCTATTTATCCGTTGAAACGGACGAAGAGAAAGACGTATGAAGCAAGAAGAAAGGGAGTGCAGATAAAAATTGAAACACAGAAATGACAAAATAAATGTGGAAATAATGTGAGAAAAATGTGCGGAATTGGGTCTCCTCGAGGATTCAGGAAGATCCGAGACACACGGACGGCATCGTACGTCGATGATTAACGATCCACTTCAATTCGGCATGGGGGAACGCCGCGGTATTTTTCACCCCCGTCGACGTTGGAACACTCTAAATTCCCAGCGCGGATCGACTTCGTGGCGTTTACGTAGATTAACGCGGAAGTCTCCATCACCACAAATCATTATTAGCATATTATCGGCGACACTTATCAGGGCGCCGCGCGCTCGCGCTTGCGCGCGCGCGACGTTTCCACCTTCCACCCTCTCAAATAAGACCCCGCTCATAAATCAGAAAGTGTCTTTCCTCGACTTGGTGATATTTCATTCGTTAACAGGTATATAATTACGTCCGCCAAGCCGAGAGGTCCGTCCCCGGCGATCAAAACGTTTCTTCTCACCCGGCGCGCGAAAATATACGCGTGCGAAAGGGGTGCGCGCGTATAGAAGACGAAGAGGAGGAAGAGGAGAAGTCCTCGCACGCGCGATAAACAGGCGATCGTAAACTGGCTGGTTTATCGGCCGATCAATGACGCATCTTCATGATAAATATTTGCCTAACGCTCGCGCGCGGCGGATTACCGTTACCTCCCGTAATTATGAGCCCTGTATTTTAGCGCGGAGGGAGGCCGAATAACGCGCGCGGAATACGTTTGGCCTCTATCGACGCGCCGAATGCGCGCATTATCCGATCCGAAATAAAGTTCAAGTTTATTATCTTCTATCTGCATTCGGATTGTGATAAAGTGTCGGGATAAAACGTCGCTTTTACAGTATTTTATGAGCTTTGGAAGCGACGATACATATTCCATCGACAGAGCGACAAAAACAGGATCGTATATAAAACAAGTGATGCAAAGGGGATCGATCGTCGACCCCCCCTTCCTCTCTCCTTCCCCCCTTCCTCCGCATCACTCCCTCCGTCCTGGAATAATTAAAATCGCGACGCTTGATCCGGCGCATCTCTCGATCGGCAAACTCGCTTATGTAAAAAAAAAAGCAAACAAACAGACGAAAGAAAAAAAAACTTAATCGATATTTATCATTAATTGCGGCGGATCCGCGCGCGGATTTATCGCGCGCTTCGCGGCTGTATTTCATCGGCCGGCCGCCGTATATATCCCGAAGGAAATTTTTCCACTTTTTTTCAGTTATCCCAGCTCAATATCAGCGCAGACATAAAATGTATCATCACCGCTCGAAACGGAAGGAACGCTACCGCCATCACGCATCCGAAAATTAATCGGCGTGGGCGCAGCCGATAACGAATGGTGTTCCCGCCAAACGGCCAGTATATTTTACTTTGCTCTCCAGTGTCTGTTATTTTGTGCGCATTCTGGCTGTCCGCCCGGCACGATTTACTCCGCCGGTCTCGATCAGGAATTTTCGAGTCTCTCGCGCACGGCGCAGGCCGGACAAAATACTCGCGGATCCATTAAAAAATTGCCGCCGCTCGCGCTTATCGTTTTCGATAATTCGCGAAAGTCTCAATCGCGAATTACGTCCATCATCGGTCCGTAATGTAATTAACGCGATTAATAACTGAATTAGTTGACGATAAAGTTGAAAAGACATTTTATACAATTCTTACACACACATTTGCTTGCATAAACTTTTTGTTGTTTACAGCGTCAAAGTTACTTAATCTGCTCCAAATTTTATCTAAAAAAAACTTATACTGTATTCTTCGTTTCAATATCTTATCTTTATTTCTTGTTAGTTTCTTTACACATTGCGTTTGAAAAGATTTACCCATCTCGAAGCGATTAATAGATAACGTTTAATAGTAATAATAATAATATATTATTCTGTTTAAGACATTTTCTCGAGGTGATTCCTCGTGTCTTCTCTTATTCTTTGTATACTTCACCGGCCACGTTTTGTCATTGCACCTGGGGCCCGATTCTCTAACGAGAAACGTATGCGCAAACTCTGCTCTAACAGAAAGGCTGCAAATTGATTGGCTATCGCATAGTTTTTAGGGTACGGTCAACGTGACGCTACAAATGTTTTGGAGCGTTCTTCTTCTCTTTCTTTCTTCATTGAAAGAAAAGAGAAGAGGAATGCTTCGAAGCATTTGTAGCGTCACGTTGACCGTAGCCTTAGCCAATAAGCTTGCAGCTTTTCTGTTAGAGCAGAGTTTACGCATACGTTTGTCGTTAGAGAATCGGGCCCCAGATGCCTTTCTTCCGATGCACCGCTGTTTATCGTGTTGCGAGCTTCAGGCGCGTCGGTAAGCTGCACTCGTTTAACCCTTTCACATCCAGCGAAACATATGTTTCAGCATATTTAAAAAATTTCCCTAACAAATATTGAGTCATTATTAAAATCAGTAAAAACTAAAAACAACTCAAGTACATTTCGTACTTCATTTCTTAGATTAGAATGTTAAAAAATATGTATTTGCAGTAAAAAAAAAGACAGACCTTCGATCAATTTTATTTATTCATTTGGCAGTCATTTGTCAAGCAATTTAAATGAAGTAAATCTCTTTGCATGAAGAGTTACATTATTAAAATATTAAATTAAATTAATTCAATTATAATTAAATATTATAAAAATTGATTTCTGTGCATTTAATTAACTTTTTGCATTTGATGCTAAAATTTGTGAAACGAGTTTCTCGCTCGTTATACTCCGACTCTTTTCTCGTAAGAAATCATCATAACTTCTTCGTTCCCTTCCGGGAACGACACCGAGCTTCGCTCCGCGTCTAAACCGAAGCGGAACGCTACAGAGAGGTGACGGTTCGATGCCCGAGTCGGCCAAGATGAGAGGGAAGGAGAAAAAGAGGAAAAAGAGTGGAAGAGAAGAGAGAGATAAATCCATCTCTCGCTCCATTCGCTTCTATCCACTCCTATCGCCCTGCAACACAATTCAGGATCGGCGCAGGCGGCAGGTGGCGCTCGTGCTATCTGATGCGCGTCGCTTTCCGCCATCTTTGGATAGTGAGAACGTTGTTGAGGCTTCGCGACGGCGAGAGGAGTGCCAGGTCGGCTTACGGCGGGATTATAACGACAGTGCGCGAACGTGGTGTCGAACGACGGACGTGGTGATAACGACGACGACGAGGAGGTGGCTGTCGCTCGCCAGTCGGCGAGGATCGAGTGTCGCGTGCTGAACGGGAACTCGCGGATAATCGGGGGACGCGGAGTCACGCACGCAGCACGGTAAGTGTTCGGGCTCGGCGCTCGCGGAGCGCCATTGCGACGCTCTCGGCTCCGCTCTCGAGAGAGGAGAGAGAAAGAGAGAGAGAGAGAGAACAGCGTCGCCGCGTCGCGAGTGTGTTTACGCTGGGTGTGTCAAAGTGCCTGCCGCCCACACGCCGGAGAAACTTGCCGTCGGGAAACTTCCGGCCGGACGCTCGGCGCCGCGCGTCCCTCCTGTAAGTACGTCCCCGACGGGACGTTCAGGAATTCCACTCGACGAGTAGCGGAATGCTTCCCGGAGAGAAAGAGAGAGAGAGAGAGAGAGAGAGGCTGCGACATGCACGCGTTAATTCGCGACGGTTCTCAAGTCTCTCGCGACTCGCGATATTCGGAGTACTCCTCGAAGCGCGAGCCTTCGCGAAAAGTCTCCCGCTGTTCGAGAATCTTTCTGCTATTATCTCTCGTGTCTCGAGAAAGCGGCGTGTCAAAAGAAATCCTCCGCTCGAGCTGGGTCCCGGAGTCGATCGACGGACACGACATGCGCGTCGGTGCTCGATACTCTTCGCGTGGATTCTTCTTCGTTGTCGACGGAACCTTTCATCTCCGGTGCTCCTCGTTCCGACGGCGATCTCCGTCCGCTCTGTCTCTCCTCCTCGCCCTCTCGTCGCTCTCTTTCTCGCCGACACCGTGTATATACGTCCGCGCGCGCGCGCAGGCATATGCATACACGCATGTACACACACGCAAGTTGCCTTTCCTTTCGCCTCCCCCGCGCTCGTCCCCTCGCCGCCCTCCTCCCGCGCGCGCGGCCTCGTCGATTGTCGGAGAAACGGTGACACATCGCATATTTCCCGGAGTCCTCTCTCTCGTTATGTCACGCGGCCAACGCGCCTCCGTCCCACCCTGGATTCCGCCGCGGGGGAACCCCGCCGCGTCCGTCCCGTCGGCTACACCCGCCGACGGGTGCAACGGCACGACGCATATTCGATCGCGGCCGACCGCGCGAACACCCACAAGCCTGAAGCTGTGCGACGCGAGAGCGAGACAGGGAGGAGGGGAGAGTAGAAAGGGAGAGAAAGAGAGAGAGAGAGGGAGGAGGGACCCTTCGATCGCGCCCACATTCCGGTGCGGGAGCATCTTTCCCCGTCGGAGCGGGATCCACTGACCCACCGTACCGTTGTAGTATCCCGCAAGTGAACATTTTGGCGAGCGTATGTCGCTTTAGACTCTTTAGAGCGATTTCTCTCTGATTCACTCGCGGCGTTCGGGGGGAGATCTGGGACGAGCGTGTTCGCCCCCTCGCCGAGCCGGTGAATTGAACACTCGGTCTCGCGTCAGATGATGGGAATGTCACTCTGCGTTTGGCCCCTTTTTGCATTGCCGGCGTGATTTCCTCTTTGCGTAACTGGAATAGAGCTAACTGGACGTTGAGAGAGACCGCACCGTAGAACGGAGGGTCGCTAGACGCTGACGGAGATTCTGCTTTTGTTTATTTCAGGTGTGAAGGTAACTTCCAGCCGGAATCATGAGCTATCCAATGTCGACGAATCAATCTAGGCCGAGTAAGTCACGTTCGTGCGATACATTGGTCTGTCGTGATAGGGACGCGCGTGGAACTTACGTTTGTTTTGGGTTATAGTGTCCCAAGGGAATTACCAGGGCCCGGGCGACCTGCCCATGGGCTCCGCCAAGGAGCAGACGCTGATGTGGCAGCAGAATTCCTACATGAACGACTCGGGCATCCATTCCGGCGCTGTCACCCAGGCACCATCTCTGTCCGGCAAAGAAGATGAGGAGATGGAAGGGGATCAGCTGATGTTCGATCTGGACCAAGGATTCGCACAGGGTTTTACGCAGGATCAAGTTGAGGGTGAGATTACCGACCACCTTTGTAAATCTAACATTACAGAATTGGATATTGTGATGGAGAATGGCGTGACGTTCTTTCAGATATAAATCAGCAGCTGAGTCACACTCGATCGCAGCGCGTCCGCGCTGCCATGTTTCCCGAAACCCTGGACGAAGGTGTAGAGATACCCTCCACGCAATTTGATCCAGCCCAGCCCACCGCTGTACAGAGATTAGCCGAGCCGAGCCAAATGCTGAAGCATGCCGTTGTCAATTTAATCAATTATCAGGACGATGCTGATCTTGCTACGCGCGCTATCCCGGAATTAATCAAGCTGCTGAACGATGAGGATCAAGTGGTCGTTTCTCAGGCAGCTATGATGGTACACCAGCTGTCTAAGAAGGAAGCCTCCCGGCATGCCATCATGAACAGCTCGCAAATGGTGGCCGCCTTGGTGCGCGCTATTTCTAATAGCGACGATTTGGAATCGACGAAGGCCGCGGTAGGCACTCTGCACAACTTGTCGCACCATCGACAAGGCTTGCTAGCCATTTTCAAGAGTGGCGGCATCCCTGCGCTTGTAAAACTACTGAGCTCCCCGGTGGAATCTGTTCTTTTTTACGCGATAACGACGCTGCACAACTTGTTGCTTCACCAAGACGGTTCTAAGATGGCCGTGCGTCTTGCCGGCGGTTTGCAAAAAATGGTCGCTCTACTCCAACGGAACAACGTGAAATTTCTAGCCATTGTTACCGACTGCCTGCAGATTCTGGCGTATGGAAATCAAGAGAGTAAGCTAATTATTCTTGCTTCGCAAGGCCCGATAGAGCTCGTGCGCATCATGCGCTCTTATGAGTATGAAAAACTATTATGGACCACTTCGAGAGTATTGAAGGGTAATTATTTCAAATTTATTGTAATAGTCTCTTGGAATGGTAATTAAATTTTTGCGTTTATTAATTGGTGATTATTTTGTTTGCAGTATTGTCTGTTTGCCCTAGTAACAAACCCGCGATTGTGGAAGCTGGAGGCATGCAGGCACTTGCTATGCATCTTGCAAATCCGAGTCAAAGATTAGTCCAGAATTGTTTGTGGACACTGCGTAATCTATCAGACGCCGGCACAAAGGTTGACGGACTCGACAATTTGCTGCAAAGTCTCGTGCTTGTGCTCGCATCAGGAGACGTGAATGTGGTCACGTGCGCCGCTGGCATTTTGTCAAACTTGACCTGCAATAATCAGCGCAACAAGGTACGTCGAAATAAATACATTTCTTTGCGGTGTTCTTACGCGTATATCTGGCTTAGGTTTTAATCTTTTAAATTTTATTCAGGTTGCGGTGTGTAACTTTGGCGGTGTGGATGCTCTAGTTCGTACGATCGTCAATGCTGGTGATCGGGAGGAGATAACCGAACCGGCGGTGTGCGCCTTACGTCACTTGACCTCGCGTCATAACGAAGCGGAAATGGCGCAAAATTCCGTTCGATTAAATTATGGTATCCAGGTTATAGTCAAATTACTTCACCCGCCGTCGCGCTGGCCATTGGTGAAGGCGGTTATCGGATTAATCCGCAACTTGGCTCTTTGTCCTTCTAATCACATCCCGTTACGCGACCACGGCGCGATACATCACCTTGTGAGACTCTTGTTGCGCGCATTCCAAGATACTCAACGAGTGAGTATAAGCCGTTATATAGAATAAAAAATATTTTGCATAATAACAATTGCAATAATTGTACAATTAATAACAATTGTATAATTCTCTACTGAGAAAGTGTTTAGACGTTATTATTATTCAAATACTGTCAAAAATATTTTTTTTATTTGCAGCAACGATCATCGGTTGCTAGTACCGGAAGTCAACAAACATCGGGTGCATATGCAGATGGAGTACGCATGGAAGAAATAGTGGAAGGTTCAGTAGGTGCTCTTCATATTCTCGCAAGAGAATCCCATAATAGGGCGATAATTCGATCACAGAACGTAATTCCGATTTTCGTACAAGTACGTATCGCTATGTTTACGAAAGTGCTCATTTTTTTTAGTTTCTTAAATTATATTTTAGTCTAAAATGATAAATTTAAATTATTCTGTATTTATCGTAACATACAATTTTTTTTTATTTAATAACAATTCTGCTTTTTCACTCGCAGCTACTGTTCAACGAGATTGAAAATATTCAACGTGTAGCAGCCGGCGTACTTTGCGAGCTGGCAGCCGACAAAGAAGGCGCCGAGATGATAGAACAAGAAGGTGCTACCGCCCCGCTGACAGAGCTGCTGCACTCCAGGAATGAGGGTGTTGCTACTTATGCAGCGGCAGTGCTATTCCGTATGAGCGAGGACAAGCCTCAAGAGTACAAAAAACGACTTTCCATGGAGCTGACAAATTCTTTGTTCCGCGAGGACACAAATCTATGGAATAATGCCGACTTCGCAATGGCTCCGGATCTTCAGGTATCGTAGAGAACAAATACACCAGTGCACGTCATTTTATCTCGTGCCGTGGCGAAATAGATTTACTTGTAAACACTATGTAACATAGCAAGTTTTAGTTTTTATGTACTAGCTTTCCCTTTTTTTAATTTACTTTTGCCAAGTACTTACGAGGAATCAGGTTTGTAATATAAATGGAAATATATTGTAGTATAGAAGTATGTTAAACACTTCTCGATGGTTACATTGTGTTCAGTAAATTGCCACGTTATAACAGCTCTTACTGGTTATAGAGACATTCCCCCTAATTATAAAAAAATCAGGTATTTATATGTTACAAGGTTTTCCCCGTGTAAGATTAATTTCAAGCACAGCTGTTTATAAGTCATGTATATAGCGTTATTTATCTATTATTCCAATTTGCACCACTAAGTCATCTGCAGTACTCATTAGGTCATTAGCGTGCTATAGCGTTTAGTTCTCATTATCCATCGGTTACGCTTTAGACTTTTATCGTTATATTTGTGGAGATGACGGGTATATATAATGTGAAAACTAATTTCATACAATTTTACATTGCTTAACAAGTTATAAACGAGCAGTTTTGAAATGTTTGCTTTCCTCACGCAAAAAATGCACTTTATAATGCGTATTTATATTAACTTGTAAACTAAATTTTTAGTTTTACATGCTTAAGCTTTATAACATACAGTTTATTATGCCCGAGGTTCAATTATATTTCCATGACATTTTTATATTAATATTCAAACATTGAGAGCTTAAAGAAGACGATATGGTCGTGCCTAATGGAGCAATGGATCACGAGATGCAGTTAGATAAGATCTTACAATTGATAGTTTGCAAGATTACAATATGCATGGGAATGCGTTTTGTTCCTTCTGCAGATGTTTACTTCAAAAATCGTCTTTTTATTTTTATTACTTTATCATTCATGTTATTATTCATGCAAGCCCCCGCCTCCCCTCGCGTTGGCCGTTTTTATTATCGTACAAAACTTGCCAAGTATAGCGCGAATCTTGCCGTATTTCGGGGTACCATGACGCGCCCTCCCTTAGAAGAAATGCTTTGTGTTGACCTCAGCTACCTAATCTTCAGGACATGCTCGGCCCTGAACAAGGCTATGATGGTATGTATGGCCAAGGACCTCCTAGCGTACACAGCAGCCATGGCGGCCGGGGTTATCAACCGCAAGGTAATTTATATGTTAGCCATTTTATTCATCGAATGTTGCTTCCGAACAATTGACTTGTTACTCGATCGAGGGTAGCCGAAGCTATAAACGATCATACAAAACGAATCTCATTCTGTATAAAATGTGTTCTTGTATATAATCCGTCATGACAAATTGCGTATGCCGTATAATGACTATAACGGGATGATTGTATACGCGATAATGCAACCTCACGAACCAATTCTGTCTTGCATTGTAAATACGAGGAAATTTAATCAATTTACCACTCTTTTCGATATCACCTCTAATATAAAATAATGCATTTTAATCGTATGTTATTTTAACAGCAGCTTAACCCATGGACTTAAATTAAAATACAGCCTATCAACAGTTTCTCGCAGTAACATAGGTGACATTTGGTCTTCATGTATTTTTCTGGTTTTCGTTATTTGACTGTTTGACGTCTAATTGATTGTCAGTTTTAACTGCATGTTCAATGTTACATGTAGAAACTTTAAAATTTGTCGAGCACGCTTATTATTATTTACTGTATTCCACAAAAGAATCTGATAACTTTACTTTCACAGCAGTATATATGAGAACTCGTATAATATGTGCCCTAATCGTCTATATTAAAACTTAGAAAAACACGCAGTCACCGCTTAACATTTTTATTTTCACAAAACATATTTTCTTAATTATGTACATAATGTATAATAATATATTATCTAGTCTATAAATAATGGCGCGATCGATGAAAAATATCTGAACTACTAAATATAGAATATTAATACTTGATTGATTCCAAGAAGACATTAACAATTACAAACTATTTAATTTCTTTGATATTACAACTGAAATCACCTTATTCGTAATTACGGATGTGTCACTTGATGTATATGTAAGACACTGTAATGTCAAGCTACTTCACCTACGCATGCTTACGCTGTTTTGCACGTAAATACTTACTACTCTTTTATTATTTATTATTTATTCCCACTGTAATACGCGCTTTATATGATGAAGGAGTCGCGTAGGAGGATGATATTTGTAAGTAACTAGATAAAAAGTTTTCTGCAGTTTATTCTCCAAAAGGAAGTATTGTATATATTCATCGAAATTGAAAACAATAATATTTAATACTTTTTTCTATTTGTCTTATCACATGGTGGCACGTGGGATATCGAGCTCCAACATTACAAGCGTATCGCTTATTTCGTTTTTAGTACTTGAAGCTAAAAAAGCTAAAAGTTAGCTAAACAAGTTTTTTTTTTATTTTACATATTTATTTTCTACATATTAGTCTGAGATTATTTAGTATTATTAGAAAGTAGCTTTTTTGTGGGTTCAATAATTTTTATCGTGCAATCTGGTAAAGATTTCTGATGAAAAATGTATTACAAATTAATGAGTAAATATGGTAATCGATTAAACACGATATGTCAGCATTATGATTATAAAGTAATCACATAAATTGATTAAACGATAGTTATTAAAAAAAAAGTAGTTACTTTGGAGACACATAGCAAAACTCTCTGTATCTCGTAAAGCTAAAAGACTGCCAAAGTACTTCACAAATTATGTTTCACTGATCAATGAAGTTTCTGCACTCCGCGTGCAGTGTGTAATATTTATCGATGTTAATTGCCGTACGAGAGTGTTATGGGCTTTTTATAGAAAATGATGTTTTCCTTGCGACAGGTTATGACCAGATACCAGTAGATTCGATGCAGGGGTTAGAGATAGGTGGTGGATCGACGTACGGCGCAATGGACACTATGGACGTGGCGCACGATGGCATGAGTTTCGAGCATTTGGAAGAGCTTCCTGCACCGCCGCAAGATAACAACCAGGTCGCGGCCTGGTACGACACCGATCTCTGAATCCGTGCCGTTATCGATCTCACGAGATAGCGAAGGAACTCAAAAAGAGCAGGAGCGTTATTTTAAAGTACTAAGCGAACTTTCATAGTAGAGACTCGATTATCCGAGCGCTACAGTTGAATGTCCGCATTTTAGACTCGTCAGGACCAAACCAAGTTGTCCCGATCTTTCCCCGCAAGTTTCTCATTTTTATTTTAATGACATATGCATACAATGAACATGTCCTTGCTATCTCTGTCTTTCTCTTCCCCTCTTTTTAAAATCATTTTCTTGCCACTTATGACCGGCAAACCGAGCGTCGATTGTTGTTAGGTGGATAACGTGCCAAGTGATCACACAGTGCTTGGTATCCCGATTCATGATACGGACATTTGACTGTATTCGAATAGTGTACCTTAAGATATGTAAACGATGTATCTTAATAATTAATTAAATGACGCTCGGGAAATCGGAGTTCTGCATTTACAAGACTCATCTTTGACATGAAGTAATACCGATTGGTGGGCTATCGTGTCTCGACCGTCTTTCGGTCTGCGAGAAGCCCCCTTCGAATACGGCTGCATTCCGATATTCACTTTCAGCAACTGAAAATCTATAGTATACGTTACGTAAAATATAGATTTGCAGTATTGACAGTGAATATCGGAATCCAGCCTATAAAAGATTGGTTAGTCGCGCTATAGTTGACATCTTCCTATAGTCCACGTTTGTTTCGTCAAACAGAAAGTGAAAAAAAACATTCGCTAATCCATATCGACCCGAGAAAATGTATCGCCTGTATGTAATCGCCTAATATGATCATTCACCCGAGCATATTAAACATTAATATCGATGTATTAGAATTAAGGAAGACACATGTAATTCGTACACACATGTATATGTATCGTTTAATTGTCTATACAAATAAACCGAACAATTAAGCGACCAATATTTCCTTGTTTCTGTTTATTATTTTTTATAGTATACCACAAGTCGCGCTGGTTAACAATGGAGATCATGATTATTAATTACTTTTGATAGAGGTAATTGCAGTATAAAATCGTTTAAAATGCACGACAATTTTAGAAATCGCAATTATTGTTTTTTTTTTTTATGGATCGAAGTTACGTGACTTTGTGTAATGACATTTCTTACATATTTTGAACCTATTCTAAGTAAATGTTAAACATGATATCTATTTTTCAAAGAAGCATCGAAACAATTTATAAATCGAAACATCGACGAATCGAGTACAGCCGTCGGTCGTAGGTGGACATTAAAGGATCGTCCACTTTGATATTAATATGTGCTGCAGGAAAATAATTTCAGCGAATACTTTCACTTGTCCAGGCTCGGCGAGAACGCTCGCGGTGTCCCGAGGTAAGACGTTACATGACGCCGACACGCACAATTTGTCGCGGGGGACCGTCTTCGTTTTCTTCTCTTCGCTTCTCTCCACTTCTTGGTCGCGGAGAAGGGTGCCACTTACGGCGCCACGTCGGGTCATCAATCGCTGGCTCGACTCTCGCACGGCGCGGCGTATTATACATCAGCGGCCGCCTCGAAGAGTCGAAGGCCCGCGTTAACGGTTGTTTCTTAACGCGACACGGAGGAAAGGAGGCTTGTGTCCCTCGAGGAGCCGTGTGTTTCTTCGAGTACTACGGAAGGCGCGTTAAGAATCAGTCTGCTCGTCGAAGCGGCCACTGTCACTTCCGGGCAGCTGTCGGCCGAGGGTAGTCGACTCTTGGCCCGAACACGAAGGCAGCGTTTTGTGCGGTGGGATCAGCGTGAATTTTCTTGGACTGAGTGACCGAATTCTATAAAAAAAAAGGTCTTTTGATTTCCAAGGAATAAAAACCTGCTATCGGCACGCGAAGCGCGAAGATTAGGTGGTTCTACTGGATTTGGGAATTGAGTATCTGTCTCGCAAGCAGGTAAGCCTGAAATGTTTGTTATCGTGATGTCTTTTAGCTTCTTTTAGCCTCTTTCAACTCGTCTTTCCACATTCTTTCCTGTCTCTTTCGTGTATTTTCGTGACTTAAAATAACCGCGGTATAGAGCTCCATATAAAATCTTCGATACTTCGCGACAAAAATATTCGCAACTGCGAATTGTCAGTTTTGTGACGAATGCCTTTTACTAGCGACGTACTTTTGAAATATTTTTTTAGTATCAAGACTGAATTGATATGCATAGGTATTACTAATTATGCAATTAGAAATATTAATTCTGTAATTAGTAATAAATTACAATTATATAGAATTTAGTACCTATATTATACTAATTACATGTAATTTTGATTAACATATTATTAATCAGTTGCAATTAGAATGTATGTACAACATCCAGTAGCTTCTACAATAACAATTACTGTGGTCAAGAAAAAACTCTAGGACGTTTCCCCGTGCACCATTCGATATAATTCATCGATGAGACTCATCGATTATCCGTAGATTTCCTAGAGTGTACATTATTCAAAGAATAAAGTTTGTAACGGTAAAGTGTAATCTTCACGGTTGAATTCCTATCTAAGTAAGGTTTATCGTAGTTTCTATTCGCGGGGAGTGCACTCCCCGTATTTGCGTTTCATTAGAAACGCACGGATTACCGTTGCTCTCGTAATAGAGTCAGAGCAATCGGACAGATATGTCCGGACGTGAAATCAAAAACGATATAGAAACATCAGGTATAGAATTCTATAGCCGCACGTAAAATATTACCGGCGCGGCGTTGCAAATATTACACGTAATAAACATAGTCATGCACATAAATATGTTATGTGTATGAGTGGTTCTGCCATTAATATGAAATAATCCCTGATAATTATACATTTAGATAAGATATATATATTTAAAATGAAATTACTCTTATTCGTGGTGTTTTCGTTGATCTTATTGTTTTTATGTCAGGTATTTCAATGCATTTGTGTGTTTTAATATACATAAGTATTTATATATGTACAATTCTGTAAATGTTTTTCGTGTCCGCATATAAAGTTGTAAACGAAATTCTACTCTAAATTCTGGCACGAATATTATAGATCGCCTACGCCTACGCTAATTTTTACTTACTTATTTCATAATAATAATCCACTAAAGTGATACTATCGAATAATATGCAATAACGTAAAAATAATTCGTTCGATTATATTTTAAGGGAAAAAGTAAAAAAAAAATCTGATTCCTCTTTTACACCTCACCGATGTAGAATCTACGACGGAAAACACGCATATTAATTTCATTGCACTGATTCCAAAACCTGTCTCGTTACCCTTGAAATAAAATAACTTGCACTAATAAAGTGCCTTTGCTCGATGTAGTGTATCGAAAAATATCTCTCCGTTCAACAAGACTCGTTTCCTTTCCAAGCGGAGCAAGTGTTTTCCAAGTTATTTTTCACATTAAAGTAGGTCGTAAAATACATAAATCCTCTCGGCGACCTTTTTGTCGAACATTGAAACGAATATTGAATATTCAGAGAGAAAAACAGGAAATATAATGGGCAATTCAGTGGCGAGGAATCTTCTACCCGCGATATCGCTGGAATTAATTTCGTTCGTAGTCCCATTAAGAGACCTGAAACGATAATCTTGCTTAAATACTACGTATTTGCACATATGTATGCCGACTGGGGCATCGACGATAATAACGTGAAAGTGCATCCACTACGCCGCTCCAGAACAATTCCACGTCGTGCCCAGCTTGAGATACACCGTGGGAGTAAATTACCGTAAACTCCACGTCTGATCAAAAAGTTCACTTTACTTGCGACACCGCGCGCACGGTTGTCTCCTTAAATGTCTCAACAGGCACCTGCACGAGATTTGCCGTTACGCGCTTCCGACACATCGAACAGTAATGTATTGTCGCTCGTAATCCGCGGCATAATTAGCAGCGGAGTGCAAAGCCATGCAAAGGATAGCGGGAAAAAACGAGGACGAGTAATCACTGGATAGAAAAAGAAAACGAGCAAAGAAGGAATAACAGATCTTAACATAAGCGATAAAATAGATAGGATGCGAAGGATTCGAAGAAAAGCACAAACGTAAAGACTGAAAGATAATTATGACAATTAATAAAAAAAGCAGAAGAGAGAGATGAGAAGAAACGGGGCCAATCGCGACTCAAACAAAAGGGCTCAAAACTGGCATAAGAAGACATAAAGAGAAAAAAAATGAAAGAAAAAGCAAAGTCGAAAGTTGAAGGAGGTGCAAATGGAAACGGGAGGACAGGAAGGGATGGAAAGGGCCAGGAAGAGACGAGGGACAGACGTCCTTGCCCCGGACTAGTCCGTAACTGTGCCCTCGTGCGCGCGGACGCCCGTGGAGAACCGGTAATGACGTGAAAGTGCATCCACGAGGAGCGAGGAGCTTAGGCAGGCAGGCGGGCAGACCGCCGCAGCGCGCCGCGCCGTTCTCTCGGCAGTCTCGCCTCGTCCAGGACAATCCCTTGAATCCCGTGGCGCGGGGCCGGCTTGGAGAAATTGTCTGCCTCTCGACGATCAAAGTGCTCGGCCTGGACCGAAGTGGTGAACGTCTCGTTCGCCGCGCGCGGTCGCTCAGTCGCCTCCTTTCCTCGAGTGCGTTTTCGCCGCGGCTGCACGCCGATTCCACACGAGCGGTTTGTTTTGCTTTTCGCCGACACGCGCGTTCAAAGTTGGTGGTCCCCGGACGGTTCTCAGTGACGTGATCTCTCGAAGGCATCCTTTTCTTCTTCTTGTGATAAATGTGACGCACTGTCAATTGGAAAACGGAGTTTCATCTGTACGTTTGACAATTTAGGTACGAATACCCCAGACAGGAGAAAACTGATTTATTGTATTCTGAACGTGCGCTGCGTGTGATGCGGTCAATTTAGAATTACGATTGTTGATACATATTTATACGAGAAACTGTAAAAATTGCATCGCTTGTTTGATACGTTCTACATTTGATTCAAGCATGATATATGTGATTTATGTGTAAAGGCGTACCTTTAATTATGGAAAGATTATTAAGACTGAGACTAATGTTAATAAGAACAGATAAGACTAAAGGATACGTGTTTCTCTCAAGAGCGTTCACAGATCCTATAAGATAAATCTAGTATACATTAAGTTTTAAACCGTTACACACACATTACATAAACTAGTCCTGCGGAGATGTTTTATACATGAGGATATATCAATCTTCGTGTGTGACTTACCTGCATAATTCTTTTTATTAATTATTTGATTGTGCGATTATTTAAACTGTATATTATGTCATGATCTTTATCTTAGCAGTTTTTTATTTTAGCAGTTTCTATATACATTTTAAAAATTAAAAATCATCAGTTAGATTGCTTATTCTCTTCTAAAATTTTATAACAAAAGAGGTATATAAATATGTTTAAAAATTATAAATGTAATAATTATTTTATGTAAAATTCTCAAAATTTCACATTTATGTCATTTGTTGCTTATTTGCGCAAAACTGCATTGAACTTGTTAATGCTTTCTTTATGGCAGTGTTTACAAATATTATTTACATAATATATGGCAACAATTTGTTTCAAAGGCATTATCAACGTGAAAAGAATTCTGTTTTAAAATATAAAGTTATATTAATTATACGAAATAAATATTTTTTACATCAACTTCTAATTCTTCGTCAATAAAGTCCGTTTTTGTATTATATATGACTTTTCAATGAAACTTTGAAACTGTTATTAAACTTTATTATGGTTTCTAAATTAATGAACATTAGTTTCAATAAAAATGGTAATATTAAACGATAAATACAGACTTGCTGAGAAAATACCAAGGAACGGCACTTTATGCCGAACGGAAGTTTCAACAGCGGTAAACGACTGATCATGTGATTTACGCGCTCCCGTCACAATACGCACGGTGACCGACGTGCATTTATTTAAAAAAAGTCCATAAAGCCCGACACTTCCTAGAGAATAATTGCACGAGTCTTTAATTGTAAGTATTTCTTCTTTACAGCGAATGGGACGCTAATATCTCTGAAGCGGAAAGCGGCAGGCCTGCGGGAGATGTATCTTGCCGATATCCAGGTTTGCGGTTCTTAATAAAAAAAAAAAAAACGGACAATTGATCATCTTCGGTCATCCATCACCATTGATACGCGCGTACGCTCCACGAGGAAAAGAAATCCGCGATGATCCCCGTGACTCCTCGAGCCGGCCAAATTCTGGAGGAGCGCTGACGAAGCGCGGGAGTGCGCGATCGCAGGCAGAAAAAAAATGACCGTCGCGATGGAGCACAAGCGGAAGAGCTCGTGGGACTCGAAGGTGAGACTCGAATATGTGGCGCACTTTCCCTTCGCGGATCTCCACATGCTTTCTTCATTATACCGTCGCGTTATTAATTAGGGAGCCGGGCCCTCGTGCGAAAAACGTCGCGACTCGTGCATGCGAGGAATCGAGCGGAGACGCGCGAGGCGTTATGAATCCTACATAGAAGAATGCATTGTTTAACGGCGGACGGTATATGAGTAACGGCGAGTGTTGCGCGTTCGGGATACTTTCCAGTTTCTTCGGATCGATCCTCCGACGTTCCCTAACGGGGCCGCGAGGCAGATAATTCATGATAAATCCTGAAGCGAACATTTCAAACGTGCGCATTTTCGAACGCTTGTTATTCTAGCTTGGCAAACGCGTATCGTGCACACCACCTTTGTTCGAACTTGCACTTAAACTTGCTTTATTAGAAGTCTTGTGCGAGCCGAGAACGCGAAATGGCGTAATGTTGCTTTGTTGCCCGACGCAACGTCATATTTCTGTCTCGTGGCTGGCTTTGCAAATAATCATTTCGCGGATAAGGTGCCCGCCTCTTCTATTATCCAGAAATGATGCTGCAGATTGGAACGGTGGAACAATTGCGGGATAAACATAATCGCTCCCATAACTCGCCGCTGACATTTGAGCCGGCGAGTATCGCCCCGTGGCGAGAAAGCGCAATTCTGATTAATTTAATCAACTCTCACGCGGCGTAACATTATAATATGTATATATTTTTTTTACTCACGAGACGAAATGAAACGAGATTAATTCCGTTCCTCGCGTCCGAGTTCTTCCAGTCGTAAGAAACGGTGCCGAATGAATCAGCCGCACACAATAACTTCGGAGAAAGTCGCGTCGCGCATCGAGCGTTGATGCTCACCCATCGTGTCCTTCGATTAATTATTCCGATTAATTTTCTCGCACTACAGAGCGACGTAAAGGCCATTGAAAGGCTAGCGGGATTGTCGCGGGAAAGAGACTCAACCTTGAACTCGCGCGCGTTTACTCGGTCGTTGATACTTGAATACTCTGCATTATTCCGATTTCTGGATATTGCCGTTATTTGTCATTTTATAAGGGTATTCTTTGTATAAAAATTTTTATCAGGACACAAATTGTGTTTACATATTGGCGTTTATTTAATTACATGCTCGAGGTTTTAGCAAAATTGTTGCACGTTTTTTTCTAGCAGAAACATGACGATTTATAAAAACTATCGCTGATTAGTATATTAAGGAATATTTCAAGATCTGAATGCACTTTGAATATTTTGCATTGGAATAGGTCGTCGACTTTTGAAGCGTTGCGTGCGAACGACTGAAAGGCAAGACGCACCGAGACGATTCGTGGTTTGCAAGTTGATACCGTACGAATTATTTTTGCGGTCGTGTTCGTTACCGCCGACCGTTGAATTATCGTGGACACGATTTTTCACCGACATAAATTATGCAAGAGCCGCGCAGAGTCGCGCGTATTTGAAACTCGTCGGACTGCCGAGTGCATAAAATGTGTCAAACGAGTTGTAAATTGGTCAAAAGCCAAGGTTTCCCCAGATTCGTTCAACCTTGTTCTTCCAATACCGTTTGACAAATTTCTATGCGTGACGCAAATATAATTCTGGTAGTCGGTATATTCTCTTTCCGCAACGTTGATTTTTGAGACGAAGAGAGTCGAGAGAGAAAGACGACTGATGGCAATAACCCTTTTCCAAGTGAACAATGATTCTGCGTTTTGTTGTCATTCGCTTCAATGATTCGCCTTTCGAAAAGGAAATCGAGAAACTTGTCGCGCGTTCGTGAAGATTTAATTAAAAGGATAACGCTCAATTAGCGAGATTTCTTCATCAATAGTGCTAATTGCTAAGTGCGAACGCCGTTTACACGCGAGCGATTGTGTCCACCTTGGTCCACCTCTCTCGGCGATTAGGAGCCTGATCTATCTGGTTTTCCTCTCCAGACCGATTGACCTTGTTCTCTAATGACCCCCCTTGGCCACGCAAATACCTACGCACTCGGCGGCGAGTTGACGAGGAACTAGGCTGACCGGAATGGAGAGCGATGTGTTAGGTGGGTTGGGTCGTCTGGGTTGGGCCGTCGTCATCTGCTCTATCCCCGATACCGTTACTTCATGGACACCCGATCGCGCTTGGTATTCTTCAAAATCGCGCGTGACGCATGTCGCGCCGACGTCAAACTCAGATGATTGATGGCAGGTCTTTGATTGAATATCAGGAAGTCTCACATCGGTAATTTCACATCGGTGTATTTTTTATTTATTATCTGTTCAATGATAAAAATTAAGTACACGGTGACGTCATTGATGATATCTTTGCTCACTGAACCCTTCATTTTCTGTTTTGTCTCCTTTTCTTTGGAACAATCACAATTTAATTATGGATATATAACTAAATTTTAAATTAAAGTAATTGTAATAATCTTAATAAACTTAAATCATAAATCGAAAAATTGTATCGTTTGAATGTTGAAGATCATCTCGGAGAATCATGCGTTCACGTCACATAACTGAACTCTGGGATTTAGAATGGCGCGGAACGATTCGAGACAATTTTCTTCGTAGAATAAGTATGCCGATTATCTTGATGACGAAGGACGACAGATTGCAGATCGGAGATCAACTCCGTTGTCATTTTTCTCGCGATTGCTTTTTGCTGACGAGTACTGGCGTCAAGTTCCGGGGGTTTACTTGTCACCGCGTAGACAGTACGTATAATATGACCGAGCGGATTGTAATTCAAGACGGACAGAAACTCGTTTCTAGATTCTTGGCTCTTTTGGAAAGGTGGCTTGGCGTTTGGTATAACGGTTATAACGGTCAAGAGAGTCACGAGAGAACAGTAGCTCCGATGACGCTCTACAGATTCTTTCCGCCGGTCATCGACACTTATTCTTTTCAACGGTTGACAATCGACCGACACGTTTTCCGGCGACAAAAAGAGGTCACGTTTTTTTTTACATTATCGTTCGCATTACGCATTTACAATCAATTCTATTTGCACAATATTCATTAACTGGCTCGTGTATACGTGTGCAGGAATAATCTATAAATGAAGATCTAATGCACAAATATATTTTATACGAGGAAAAAATCTGCATTTTTTTTTCGAAGTATAGGATCTATAAATTAGCATCGTTAAGATACCGTTGCGAGATATCTTCCTTGTATCTTAATACGCGATCTGAATCGTTTCTTTAACGATTATATAGAAACTTCTTTCTCTAGTAATAATTTTTACATAAACTTGAGGTTTCTCTTTACGCGCGGTTTCACGGGGACGTAAATTCGACGTGGCTTCTCATTTTGGAGTGGAAGCAATTCTTTTACCCATCGGTAGAAAACGGTTTAATGGATCGGTAGCGTTTACAACGGTCATTATGCATCGGTCTATTATTATGGCGATGTCCGATATGGTATCGAGAGGCAGTTGGGGGGGGGGGGCAGTTCACCGCGAGAGACCACGTGTACTTTCGCGAAAGTTTCTGGCCGTGAAGAGCGCTTTTTCTATCGGCCGCGGAGTCTAATTTTTCCCGGCCTTGAAGTCACTGACCGCGCCTATTAACGGAAGAGCTCGAAATGCGCCGGTCAGCCGGAGCGTGTCTTAATCTCTTCCTGCAATCGCTACCGAGAGAAGGCGCTGCGTTTATCCGCACTGAAATTCTACTTTCCAATCTGGTGCGTCCACCAGATCGGATCGGCTCGTCTCAAGCGCGAAACGGCCCATTATCGAGATCGGCAGCTCACAACCGCGGTCAACCGCGTCGATCTTACCCGGCATTTGCATTCCCCTTTTTACATAGTCTCCCGGAGATAATGGCTTTGTTTATTTGCGCCGTTACAGATCCGCGAGCGAAGCACTAAACGTTCGCGTGCATATATGTTCTCGCACAGCAATGACCGTTCTATAAGAATACAGCTTCGAAGGAGGAAGATCCGCTTCGAAGAAGGAAATCCGTATTCGCGTTCTTGCCTCGCGCCGCATTTAGCGCGAAACGTGGTCATCCGATCACGAGTTTCATTCTATCATTAAAGACAGATATTAATTAATTTTTAAATAAAATCAATTTTTTAAATATTATTTGTTTCCCATTATGCATTATTTTCTTTTCGCAACATCTTTCGACATAAAGGTTTCTCTCTTCGTGGAAGATCGTCCTGACCTTTTCGCTTTACTGGTGAGCGAGGAATCACCAGATACTTTTACTTTGCAGCATTCAAACGCATCGTCAATCTTTTTTTGCTTGTCGTGGAAGGAAAATTGGTCATGCTTGATTTCCGGTTCTTTCACTTCGGAAGCCTCAACAAGGGATATGTCGTGTGAGAAAGACTTTTCAGCGGAAACATTAGTCGTTACCGAACTAGGCTAAAACTAGGCGCGAAGACAGTACGCGAACTTTCATTTGACTTTCGTAATGTCTTTCGCACTATTGTTCGCCAAAGTTAGTCTTTTTGTCGTTATCACAAATCTTACGTAACGATCAAACGATACTATATAAAACAAACTATAATAAACAAACAAACTAACAAACAAATAAACTATAGTATATTCTTAGCTTTGATTGACATTTATAGATAATCTAGACTGAAACAGCATATTTCTAAATGCACATAAAAATATGTTTGCCATCCCTTTTTACCTTCTAATTACAATTTTCTTCAAATATAATTTTTAGGTATAACTACTTTTCTTATTTTTTATACATATATATTTAAATACGAAAGAACATTCCAAAGAATGTTTGCGTAAAAATTATTATTTTTATTCGCTTTTCGCGCAAAGAAGTCCCGACTTATAATTTTAGCAACTTTAAAGCGTACAATGTTTATCATGCTTCTCGCTATATGAATTATACCGAGTGGAGTTTGAATTGAGAAATAAAACGTTTACAATGCTTGCCATTTCTAATAGCGTTGTGATATTACATCAGAGCCAATGATGCGGAGCAAGTAAAAATCGTGCACAGTCCAGTGCATTGTTCGCGAAACTGATATCCACGAACGAAAGGCAACTTCTCGCACCCGTGCTAGTACATCGTGCTATCGCCAGTTTCATAACGGGCATGGGGGGCATAACATTTTTATAACTCGCTCTTATATAAGTGACACAGTGCAAGGAACTTTTCCGCAACCGCGATTTTGCGGTTTCGTGGGGGAATATTTTACAGCTAACGTTGTACCACTTCGAATATTATGTCTCTCGTATGCGAGGTATATTATAAGTTAATTATAATTTTGATAACACGCACGCAGACACATAAATCTATATAAGACAGATATAAATATATTTTCATACTTCCTCAATAATTCTTCTTTAAAATTTTGCTACACGATATATCATTACAATTTAATTGCTCCGCATTTCGGTATTCTCTATTTTCTTCTAACTTTTCTCAAGTTATCCCAGCTTGTACACCTCGATAAATAATAGGTGCAACGAATCGATTTTGAATCGCGAACGTTTGACACAGTTTAATAAACCTATATAGTCTGCAATTACACGCGTATATCCGTATCGCATTAACTCAGCTTAATTAGATAATGGCTGCTCGGGCGTGAATCGCGTTGCGGAAGTGATTGAAAATAGAATTCGAGATAGCATCTCGTTCGCCAGCTGCTACGTATTGCGTGTTTGCGTCTAAACACGGGTTCCCATGTGTGTACACCGGGTCGCGTGAGAAAATCGGTCGGCTCTCACTGACGTATATAGTTCGAGTATCCACATTACCTAACATTTAGGTTTAGATCGTTGCCCGCACTCTGGTCGTTCGGTGTCTCTTACGCAAAACAATTAAAAACGCCTACATTTTTTCCGTAAATACGACAAAACTTAACGCGTGCGACAGGATCAGCTCGACGCGTATCGACGCCGGCACGTAAAAACGTGGCTCGTCGAATTTCTTCTACGAGTAAAACGTTTCGCACCGTTTAGGCGGGTTTTGGCCTTTAGTCCTGTACGACCTTTGCGCGGCGAAAAGCAACCCGTAATCCAGGCGCTCTTTCGCTTGCCCATCCTGGTTGCACAGGCGCGATCCTTCGCGCCGGAGCGTGTGCCGGGCGTAGCATTTGAACGAACGGAGTGGAGGCGTATAGGCACATTGGAGGTGCCTCGTTGTGGGCTGCAGCCGACCGCGGAGGTGCATCGTACGCGACGGGGAACGCGATTAAATAGACGGAGGCTCGCCTATTTAAATAATTTATTTATGAGTGATCCGTGTCGCTTGGATTTCTTGGATGGATTCAGATTCACGTTCGTTATACGCGACATCCTGCATGCTAGAGCGTGTAGCTCGTACGCACAGTTTCGTTAATACCATCGTGCGACACGCAATTACATATAATTAAGAGAAGGAGATGAGAGGTTGAGGCCACGGATATTTTTATTTATTTATTGATCACGAATCTTCTTATCTTTCTAGAAACAGACGTGTCCTCTTTTCGGACATTTTTGCGTATCAAAATTTATCCAAAAGCAGCAATGATGTTTTCTAAGTTTTGTTTTCAAATAATTTGTTCTGTGTAGCTCGCGATCGAATCGCGACTCGTGTCGCTTTGTCTCAACTCTGAGACGGAAGTGATCGTTAATGCAGTTCGTTTCGCAATGAGGAATCACGGTAATCCTCGTTCTTTCGGATTGGTAAAAATTCATTGATGGCACGAGGGAGCGGACTGCGGATTGTTTCATCAGCGTGGAGAAAGACACCGCCCACTATTATTTACTGAATGGTTTCAGCAATCTTGCTTTCGTAATGCTATTACTAAGGCTTTATTTCATTACAGAAAATATTATCTTTAAATATATAGGAAGCTCAAATATAGTAAATAATACTGGTAATACAGACGCTAGTTTGCACTCACTCACGTTGTGCATTTCCTATTAAAGATAACAGTCACGTAACTAACGCGAGAGACCGATCATAATTAATGCCCATTTTTATTAATCTTTGATTTTATTTGATTTTGTGACTGACCGTGTCCTATGATCAATAATTATTCTAACTAATTGTAAAATAGCCTTTTTTGCTTTACCTGAAAATTTCTCTAAAGCAATTTGATAAACGGAATCATATTCAGCGTCCAAAAAACTGAGAACTGATTATCTTTGTTTTTGTGCATTTTTTTAAATTGAATAGATTATTTGAAGAGCATCCACTTGTCATTTTGAGCAGCGTATTTATAATTTATGGCGTATTGATCAAGAGCAACAATTAAAATCGCCAGTGTAAAATACGAATACATTTTTGTCCGCAGATTTCAGTGAGCACGGTGAGCACCCGAAGATTCAGCCGTGCCGGTACACCAAGCTCGATCCTATCGTCCGACAGCGACATTCGTTTCACAAGGAAGCTCGGCGGGCAGTATCGCTGCGGATGCTGCGTCCTCGCCGCTTTCTTATTCTTCCTCCTCTTCTCGGGTATTTCCATATACCTCGGCTGTAAGTATACCATAGAAACTACAAACAACATGAAAGTCCAAGAAATATGAACAAAAGAAGCATAATTTTGTATAAAAGATTTATGAAGAAAACATTCCTCGACCGCACATCTTAAGGTGCCAATTCATGAGACGCTGAAAATGAGCGTCAACAAGGTGAATGTGGTGGTTTCGCTTTGACGCTAGCGTCAAAGAAATGAAGTTGAATTTGTTTAATATTCAGCGTCGTCGCTGAATCGTCGTTAATCGTCCCAGTACAATCAAACATAGACTTTGAAATACGTAAAATATTAATTATTTTCAAGTAATATCTTCAAGTAATAATATTTTATGGATACATATATAAATAAAAGAAATTATTTCTGAAGATTTTTACTTGCTAAAAATGAGCGTCGAGCGTTAACGTGAAAAGGCACCTTTAATTGATGTTTGATATGACGGTTCCGATATATCTTATTGCTAATTAATCTTTGAAATATGTTTCTTTCTGTCTTTTTACATTTAATTGATGTTTATTTCTACACGTTAAAACAAATTTAAGTTATATAAATAGAGTCTTTTTTTTAATATAGTTATAACAAATGTTTTTATATAAAATTACTGTAAAAATTAGTGTAGCCTTCTAAGCAATCTTTAATTTATTAGTACGATTATATAGAGCATTGCAATATAAAGATAAGGCTTTGTAATTAATGTAAGATATTTTAGATTAAAGTCAATTTTCGCGTTTATGAAAATGCTCTTCGACTGATTGCGAGATATCTGTCTTATTAATCTCGAAATGCATTGGCCTCTCATTTTTGCAATTTACAAAGTTATTGTACTGTAAAGAGATCATTGCTCGACGCACTCGAGAAGAGCGATGCTCTTCTTCTTAGGTCTTAGAAAGTGAGCGTTCTGTCGAACGATTTAATTGCCTGCGCATTAGCGATGATAGATCTATGCATTATTCGAAACGTGATGCGCGTACCATCACGCGCCGTGGCTGCTGCGCTGTAACCGATCGCCGCTACACGCCGCGATGTTATTTTAAGTAAGCCTGTTATCCGCGGGGGCATTTTACTGAACCGAGATATATTTTCGTCACGCAACGCGCTACGGCCGCTTTCACTCGCCGTTCTTGCGTATACGCGTCGAGGGTATACCGAGACGAGCAAATGCAATTACTCCACGGTTAACCGGCAATCGGCGGCCTGGCGGGCGTGAAATTATCCCGCCGGCGCGGCGCGGTGTAACGCATCGCGATCGCGGATCGCTGGACGACGGATGCGTTCACGGTGCATGAACGTTTCGCGGGCTGTGAAGTGCGATCGGCGGCTACTCGCCGCTTTGTCCGAATGAATGACGTTTCCTTGTAGGCGCGTGCACTTCACCTTGGTGTATCACGCTCGGCGCGCACGCCGTACGTATACGACGAACCAGATACGAAGGAGGGAAATAACTGTATCTTGCATTTACATTACATTAGAGCGAGGGGGAGACGGAGAAAGGGAGGGAATCTACATATTACTCGCAAAATGATTCGGAAAAAATAGATTGTGCAAGTAAAATTTCTGAGATTCCTCATTTTTCTTGCCAGTTTCACGAGAAGAACTGCATAAAGCACTGAACTCACTGGAAAAGCAAAGATTAAAAATTTTATTAATGAATAAGAATTACGTTGTCCTAATTTCAGGTGAAATCATTTCGACGTTAGTAGTAAAACGGCTTTTAAATACAAAATTACATTTATATATATTCTTTAATCTTTAATATAAGTAAGTAGTATTACTTACACTGTAGCATTAACCGCGTTCTTTCGAAAGAAGGAAGTCCCGTGTACTACGAGTAGAGAGTGTACGATAACGGTGAACGCGTGATTTGCATAGAAACATCAGTTTAATAAAATTATGTATTCACAAACGACATATGTTGTATCAAAAGATTTATAAAAACAAGATCTCGCGTAACGTTATTCTTAATAATGTGGTTCTTTTCCTACAACGCGTTACTTGGTACCAAGGCACTCATTATAATTAACTAACAGTTCTCTGCAGGTTTAAAACAATTACGTATGCGACATTAAAGAAATATATAATATATATACATATATGTATATATGTATATGTACATCTCATAGAGAACATCCAAGAATCTAACAGATTTTCCACGGTATTCAGGATTCGTCTCGGCATAGCGAGTGGCTAAGGTCAAGGCCGCATATCCTCGACGTAACAATGATCGTTTGTTACGGAACGGCGACTTGAATGTTCTCGGGATCTGCGAACGGCCACGGCGACTTGCCGCGCGAATCGGGACTTTCAGTAAGGGGAGATCGTACTAAACGCTTCTCGATAGTAGACGAAGTTGAAGTTAACAGAGAAATTAATAGGCTTCTTGAACGATACGAAGGATTGATTTGATTTTTTCAAAGCCCACCTAAGCAATAATTGGATATACTTTGCAAAATGATAAAGAGATACGTGGTATATACGACAAATATTTTATATTTCATTGCTGGACAACAAAACAGTCGCTCAGACTGGGAAAATAAATGACAATAACGGCACTAACTGTGACCGAAATTTCTTCTTTCGACGATAATATGCTTCTTCCGAGAATGACGCCGATTTTAACGCGACTACTAGGAAAAAGTTCGATCAGGAGTATATGTCGGCGCTTCTTCGAACACTCGGTAACTCGGTCAGACCGTTATGCGTGCGTGCTGAAAGACCTCAATGGGCTTTGGCCGCATCATCTTCTTCCTGCCTTTCATTCTCTACTCTTTTCTTGTAAATACGCTCCGTCCGTTCGGCTTTGATCAGCGATGTTTAACGTATATATCACATGTCAGCTTCTTGCGCTGTGAATTTTACCTTAACGCGGCTATTCTGCAAATACGTCGGGAAAAGCGATGTCTATCGCGAATTCGCTCGAGAGTGATTTACGCCGCACTTAAACTTAGCTTGTTAGTCGCCGATATACAGACGCATCGCGCACATCCGTGTGACGTAGCGAGTAGCATGGAAATCAGCAGTTCTCATCGCCGCTTAATTCGTGTTTACGACCGAGAGAAATAAGAGGTCATGGAAGATGCTGCACGGAACGTGCCGGTCCATTGAGGCTTTCAGCTGGCAAACGTATAACGGTCTGACCGAGTTGTCGGGCAGATGAGTATACGTGCCCAGTTCAAGGCTCGACCTTAAAGGTGGGGATCCGTGTCCTTGAAACATTTTGAACACTGTAGCCTATTCAGCGAATTAGCATTAGAATGGCAAACGGTTGGCCACTACTACAAAGAATGGTTCCTACCTTAAAAAATTAAAAAATTAAAAGTAGTTAATGAGAAGAAAATAAAATCTTCATTTTTTTTCAATGAAAACCTTTCTTCTCTTACAGAGAGAAGAACAGATTTTATCCTTAGTATAAAATAAAAATTTATTTTATACTATTTATAGATATTTCATATTATTTTACATTATTTATACACATCGTACAATTTTCTTTACTTTGAGAATTATTTTATAAGCTTGACAAGGTATGAAAGAATCTTTAAATACTTGTACTCGTCGCTAGATAAGATTTGAATTTGGGTGAGAGTAATTTATCAGAGTACTCTCAGATTAATTATAAGAAGCATAATTAAATTTATTTATGATTTATTTAATGGAGTAACTGTCTCATGCTAAAAATAGATGAGAAAGTACTTCTAGGCTCATGTGCACTTTGTATGTGCGATAATGCTAGATATCCCATGTTCATTAGTCATATATGAGAAAAATATACCGTACGCCATGAGTACCTCGAGTATCACGTCTCGGATCCAAACCATACAGCGCCAGCGTACCCACGAGGAAAAGTATAACCATAGGCGTCGCAATTATCTAGAAGTAATATTACATTTCAGCAATTTGAATTAAATATAAACTTTTGAGTACCTTTAAAAATACTTAAATAGGAATAAGCTTTCAAAAAGAAGAGAAACAAATTGCGTAAAATCTCTAAGATTTTTCACAAATAGATTGTGTGTAAAACGCGTAAAGCCTCTCTAAGTAAGGTATAAAAACTTATACGTGACGATGTTGCGCGAGAAGAAAATACAAATGAAGAAAAAGAAATCGGACTGATCTAAATAATTAATCCAAGTTAAAATGTGAAAAAAATTAAAAGAGAGTTGAAAGAACGTCGCACAATTCTCAGAAAATCTTCAGAAAAAAATATTTCGCCGCCCATGACCGTACCAAAGGGTCAAAGAGGTTCTCCCGCCGGGGTAAGCCCCGACGAAACGAGGGGGGAAGGGGGACCGGTGAAAGGTGATTCCTAGCGAGAAACCGAGATCCCTGCGGGCACCTGCGTGCTCCCGATTTGTCTCGTTTTGCCCGGCGCGCGGAAAATTGGCCGCGCCGACGACGTTCTAATGACAACGCTCGGCGTGCGAGACCCGCCTCGACATTGTTGGCACGTTTTGCACGCTCGACTCTATCGTTTGCCGATCGTACATACATTAGAAAGCCAGATTGTGGTACGTACAGGCGAATTACGGTGAGACCCCGCGCGCGCACCGCAACGTTCTAAATTCCTTCTCGCGGCTGCGCTTATCGGTCAAGTCGTTTCGCGAAACTTTCAGCGAGCCCGCTGTGACCTCTCGTAAATTCGTGAGATCCTCGTCAGCAGACTTCATTTTGACGGCAGAATTTTATCAGCATGTAAATACAAAATGCCATGACTGGAGATGGAGGTGACGCATAATAAAACAGCGAATGATTTATTTACGCGGCGACTTGGAGGAGCTTATTGCTGTAATTTCCGCGGATATAACACACGCCGGTAATCAACTTTCATTGCATCCACAGCATAATCAGGCTCCATACGGGAGCCTTTTTACTTTGATTAATGCGACTGCGTTGAGTAATACGTCTATTTATGTGATCGATGCGCGGAGAGCAGTGAAATTATATTGACTCCGTTCAGGTCTCAGCTCATTAAGCTAATAATCATATTTATTCATACCTTTCTTAGCCTTGACATGCATCTACAACTCTCTTGAAATTCTTTTTTTTTACACACAATACATTTCTTCATTACCATACGCAAGATTTCTCATATATACATTTGGATTTCCTATTTTTTTTCTCACACATTATCATGTCGTATATTATAGCAACCAACACAAAATATTTTTCTTCTGTTCCAGACACATTCCTCACGTCGGATCCACCTGGGGATCAGATATTTCTCGCGACATTCCGAGTTACCAAAGGCGATTCCTTCACCGCGGAGTTGGCTGATCCCTCTACCGAGGCCTTCCGGATACGATCGCGAGAGTACCGCGACCGCCTTAATCTTATCTTCCGTCGCAGCTGGCTGAAATTATCATTCCTCGCAGCGGACGTTCTGGCACTCGACGGGTAACGCAAATATTAGTACCTCCGGTTTCTCGATTATCTTATCTTCTACATTCGCCTTCGCGCCGCGTTATGAGGCACGCCTAAAGACGCTTGCAAAATAAATTGTGCAACAGCATCCAACAGCGAACGCGTTACGTGTGAGATCAGAAAATCGGCCAATTACGAGACCACGTATGCCACGAGCTCTCCCTCGGCCAGTTTTCCCGCCGTGAAATCAGTTTTCGTAGACGCCGGGAAAACGATGGGACGAAGCCAACCGATGTCGCGGAAACCGATGAAAACAGCTCGCGGCAGCGCGCGCGGGAGAGAAATCGGTCGCCGCGATCGTTTCGCAGCTTTCTCGTGATTTCACGACACTTGCTCCTTTCAGCGTTCAATGAAATGTAACCACCATTATTGCGGCCACGCTCATCAATAATGTATCACACTCGAGTCTGTAGATTTCACTCGATTTATCCTCACCGACGGTCCACGGAGATGAGTCGCATTATCGCGGAAACGCATCGTGTGGATATTTAACATAATTAAATATAATAAAAGTAAATTAAAAATAAGCAAATTAACTCGACACAAATTATTACAAAAATAAACAATATTTTAATAAGCAAGGTCACGAAAAGAAGAAATATTATGTATTATAAATATTACATAATATTATCTTTGAATAACTTCTCTTTTAGTCAACAAATTCTTAGAGAGTTTCCTACTTTTTCCAACATTAAACAGTTTATATAAATATATTTGTATAATTTATATAGGGTGGAAGGCCGAGATTTGGTGGTGCACTTTGACGTAAGGTTTGACCCGCGATATCAAACTATAACTACCGGGAATATCGTGGACATTCTATCGCGAGAATTGAATCCTGAAACCTCGCGGTACCTGGCGAATCTGACGATCGAGGCAAAGAGCCTCGAAGTGCAGGAAAGTCTGAAGGCCCTCAACGCGCAGAGCAGTCCGCAGTCGACCGTCTCGACGTTACCGCCGACAACGACGGCCCCTCCGCCAAGAAGATGCAGCAAGCTGGACTTGTCCTACTGCAAACATCTGCCTTATAATATCAGCTCATACCCGAACATGTTGGGACATAGATCGTTGGCGGATGTCCAGGAGGATGTTATCGCTTTTAGGTATATCTCTCTAGACTCGATAAGTGAACTCAATTAGATTAAAAAAAAAGCGTCTCATCTATTTTGACAGGTTAAATTTATTTCATTGAACACAACATTATTAAAGAGAATATGGAAATTTTTGTTTTAATTGTGTCATCTTATGTCATTTTAAAATTTCATTTTTTATATTTTATTGTTAATTACAACATTAAAGACTGCGGTAATTGCAACGAATTTTGAGCTTTTCTTTTTTATTATATTTTTAAATTAAGAATGTGATTGTAATTAATACTGTGATTGAAATTAGAGAATTGGTGGACGCGGAATGCTACCCATTGGCTTACGACTTCGTCTGCCAAGTACTGCAGCCTGCGTGTCGATCGAGTCAACCGGAGGATCTGCTGCAACTGCCTTGCAGGAGCTTCTGCAGGGAGTTCTGGAATGGGTGCGGCAGTCGTCTCCCCGAGAAGATAAAACACGCCTTGGATTGCTCCAACTTTCCGGAGTATGCCGGTCCTGGTAGTTGCAGGCCGAAGCCAGGTGCGACTAATTATAGAATAGAGTATTTAATTATTGTTAATACAGAACAGTCTTTCTTTAGCCAAATTACAAAAAGCACAGTATTTTATGAGCTAATTAGTCAATGTGAACATCAATATAGGATGCGTGCAGGCGCTTCAGTCGAAAGCTTTATCTCCAAGGATTTGCGACGGCGTGATTGATTGCCCAGATCTTTCTGATGAAAAGAATTGCGCCTACTGCCAGGATGGTTACATGCATTGCGGAGTAGGAAGAAGCTGTGTGCCACATACGAAGCGATGTGACGGCAAGATGGACTGTCCGAACGGCAGCGACGAAAAAGATTGTCGTGAGTAATATAATAAATAATAATTCAATTCAATTCAATTCAATGGCGCTACAGTCCAAGTCCAAGTCGGACTCTGGCCTCCTGCGGGTTCGTGTTGCCGTTGAATCTGACCGTTCCGAGGCTTTCGCTTTTCGTCACAATGTTGTTTTATGGGGACAGGTTGTGAGCCTATCGCCCAACTCGCGTTGGGGGTCGCTCTTTTAGTCGCTTCTTACGACAGGCAGGGCCTACCCTGGGTGATATTCTGACCCCGCTCCCAGACGGGTTATAAGTAATAATAGCGCAAAGAATTGCACTTGAGGAAGATGAAAAGAAACATTAATTTAATTTTGATGAAGATATAATGTTAATTAAATCGAAATAAATGCGGCACATGAAAAGCTAATTGCAGCACTGTAAATGTCCTGTATTTTTTATACACATTTTTGTCACAGTATTCTTGGCGCCGAGCGTCCACGAGCTAAAATCGCAATCCTGGAGCACGCCGCACGTTGCGAAGTACAACAAAGAGGGGTACGTCGTATTCAATGAGAAAGGTACCATCGGCAAACTTTGTACGGCGAATTTAAACGCCACTCTACCAGAAACGGAGATGGATAATGTTCTCCAAACAGCAGCAAGCTCATTGTGTACTCTACTCACATATACGTAAGTATCTCTTCGCAAAAATCTTTTTTTAAGTTAAAATAAAAATTTGGAATAGTCAAGGACTAAAAATCGACACTATTCGGATATTAACTATAATTTGAGATCTATCCACATTTTATATAATCATTTCGCGCAATTAGAATTTCATAACTTATAAATCATTATTTTTTGCAATTTCAATATAGTGGCGTAGCTTCCGTCGAAGTAAGAACTGATGACGAAGAGGATGTCCCGTACGTGTACATGGAAGATCCCTCAGCACCGGAAATCACATTCGTCCGGGCTCCTTGCCCCAGCAAGGAAGTTCTGTACGTCCGCTGTTCTGATCTCGGTACGAATCCTCTACTTATACGTATAATACAATTTTTCATTATTTAAATAAGCGCTTTGGCGCAATTATCCTCTAAATTTTTTCCAATTTATATTCTTTTAAATTGGAATTATTAATTATGTTTATTTTCTATGTGCGTTTGTATGTGACTTGACTTTCACATTTATGTTATCTTCCGATTTTGCCCATTTATATTTTGATTCTGATTTCTGAAAATTAGAGTGCGGAATACAATCTCTACGTGCTAATGGCGGTACTAATGGTCTGAATAAGATAGCAGAACCTGGCGATTGGCCTTGGCATGTTGCACTCTTCAAGGAAGGAGTTCACGTTTGCGATGCCACTCTCGTGGCAGACAATTGGTTGCTCACAACCGCGTATTGCTTCCAAGGGTGAGTTTAACTTATTACTATAAAAATATATACCGTATTGAGAAAATTCTTTTTTACATTACGGAATTATGAAGTCAAAGAAAGCAGTTATCAATTTTAATATATTACGTTACATATATATTGTATATGTTACACATACACTCCTAATTTTTACGATATCTATTTCTTTTTATAGTCAACCGAAAGCGGAATGGTCGGCTCGACTTGGAGTTGTACGACTTTCGAGCACGTCACCCTGGGAACAAGAACGCAGAATCGTCGGTATGATCAAATCACCGGTGGAGGGCACGACCGTTCTGGTGAAGTTAGATAGACCGGTGACGACCTTTTCGGACTTCGTGAGACCGGTTTGCCTGCCCTCCAGCGAGGATCCACCGAGCAACACATCGCAATGCAACACTCTTGGTTGGGCGAGAAATCGTACGTGTACAATCGTGATGTACTACTGACCCTGACCTTTCAAAATCTAGATAGTTTCTTTCTCGAAAATTAAAATATTTTTTAGGCACTTATAGAACATCAAAAAATAACTTTAACTATTAAAAAAATCGACTTGTTATTACGTTATCGTAACATGTGTATTTTTTACTAATAAAATATTTAAATTAAAAAATGCATGCCAATATGCATATTATGTTAACAATAAAAATCTAAAACTCTATTAGGTAGTAGAAAATAAATCAAAATAGAAAACTATAGAATGTACTTTTAAACGTTAATTTGAAACGTTTAATTTTTTATTTGAATAACTTGAAAGACAAAGCACTGCAGACAAAAACTGCTTGAAACAACACATATAATATTTCTCTCTTTTTCTCCTGATAGGCGATGTGTTACAAAGGGTACAACTCAAACAAAGTGCAATGGAGAAATGCGAAAATATCAGTATCCCTTCAGTGAACAGTGTCTGTACCGAGCAAGCATATTCTACAGACGATTGCAACGTAAGCTAAAGTTCTCAACATAAGTTATTATCTTTAAAGTGTTTTTAATTGATTTTATTCTTTAACTTTTACAGGAATTCTATTTTATTGTTTCTCAAGACACAAATATATTCTAAATAATAAGCGGAATTAATAAATGGTACAATAACAGTAATATTTTATTATTTTAATTTTAATAGGAAGAAGAACTCGCCGGCAGTTCGATGCTGTGCCTTCAAGAGGATGGTCGGAGATGGGCGCTGACGGGTATCGGTAGCTGGAGGATAGCTTGCTCGAAGGACGGCCTCGAGAGACCTCGGTTGTACGATAAAATTTCGTCGCATATCGATTGGATAAAGGCTACCATTGGTTGAGAAATCCGTTTACGAGTTAAGACCTGTCTGAACGTACCGCGAACGAGACATATGCTCGACACATGACGGATCCCGGACGAAAAATATGACCGTTGTACTAAAACATGGGACTGATGTCGAAATTGTGATAGAAATTTCTAAACTGTTACGCGCGGAGAATTGTTACTGTACGCCGATAGAGACTCAATCACATCCGTTTTGCACGAATATACATATATCGTTACATATTGTTATCAATACATGATTTTATCAGGTACGACGTATCCTGTTACTGATCACCGGAACGTGCAATCGTATTCTTGTAAATACCTAACGTCTTCTTTATGTCTAGGATGAAAGTCCTTCGTTACCGTGGCATAATTTTTTAACTTATTTTTCTCGCTCTACATTTATTCTACCATGCGTATACATAGTTGCTTTGTATGTTATCTCCTAGATTCATATCATTATTTTAGCAATTACGATGCATCTATACGTTTGTAAGATCGTTTACACATTAAAGTTTCCTAAAATAGTAATTTGATATTTTAAATAAATTTTTCTCTTCAACCCTCTCGATGTTTCAGATGATTTATCAGCGGAAAATTTATAATCTTATGGTGACGAATTATATAACGTGTTGGCAGTCTCGTCTAAGTGCACTTTGCGCAGAATCATGCGCAGTAGGTGGGAGATGACAGGCAGGGGAAGATGAGAATCGATAAGAACATAAATAGTAGTAGTGTAAGTTGTCGACTTAGTCGAAGCGTTGATTATTTACTGGAAACGTGGCACGGCGTTTATTCATTTCTGCGATGATGAATTTGATGGTAAATTTTTTCGAATAATTAATAAATAAATTAGTAAAATTTGAAGAAAATTTTTTAAAAATTGCCAATGTTTGAACTGTTTAACTGCTAATCTAATGTTATTAAGACCATAAATTGATTGGCGAAAATTAATTGACGTAATAGAAAGAAGATTTACTTTTTCAGCTTGTTATTCATTAACAGAAAAGCGTAAATAAAAACAATAATATAGAATATAATATAGAATAGCCTTGTTTCATTCGTTTATATTAAAGTATATCTTGTAATTAAAATTATCTTCTTGGAATGCTATGTGGAACTCAGTACATCTTGTTAATATTTAACTAAGAAAATTCCTTATCTATTTAAAATAAGACAACTGATCTATTTAAAGTAAGGTAATTGTTCAGCTATTTAAAAATAAATAACTGCTTATCTATTTAAAACATGTACTTTACAAAGGAAATGGCAACGACTGGCAAGTACGTGGGTCTCGCAAAAATTTGTCCAGAAGACAATCCCGTTGATCTCTTCAGAATATGGCGTGACGAAGCGATAAGATTCCAAACTGGATTAGTAGATGTTTGTTGTCTAGCGACTGTCTCTTCCCCGTAGGTATAGCCTAAAAGTGTACTATCCAGTAGAGAGATGTGAACTGAACTTATTCTATGTCTCAGAAATTGCAAAGTCAGCTCGAGAAATATGATGTTACGAGAATTCGATAATGACGGTTTTGTTATCATGACAGACGCACGCAGTCGGAAAGTAAAGGACATGGTAAATATTAATCTCGAAATATTGATATAATTTATTCTAAAGAAAGTTTAGTTAAACATTACCACCATATAAATCATACTATGAATTATACAAAAAAGACGTAAATTCAAACATGCTTCTTTCCATATATCTCTTTAACATTTTAAGTATAAACGATTTTAATGGAACCTACTGTAAAAATCTGAAAACAATAATTTTTAAAAATATTGTTTTGAAGGAAAAAATAGACTCTTGATCAAAAATTGGGAAAGAGACATACAATAATTTTGAAATTTAATTCACTTCTTTAGTGCTTTGATATTTTCAAAATAATGAAGATTTTACTTTTTTCTTACTGTCTTTCTTTACAGGATTGTAATTCATATACTGCTATGTGCTTTTTGTGGAATTATAAGAACGATTTCAAACATCATGTTTTGCGACAGGCAAGTACTTAACTTTGGAATAATTCATCAATTAAATATTAAACGTACTTGTTAAACTGTTCAATCTTTAATATGTTTGACATTTATTCAGATATTTTATAACTTTTGTTACTTTTACTAGTGAAAATATAAAGTGAAAGTATCCCTGATAGAACGTACAAGAAACATTTCTAACGGTCTGCGCTAGAACAGGTGGTGCTTAAAATTCGAGAAATGATGATTTAGGTGAGGATAGAGGGATCGATGAAAAAACTGGAAAGACCGGCTTGTCAACTTATATACGAGAGAGAGCCGTTGCACTGCAAAATCCGGACCTACCTATGCCATCAGGACCAACCGGCTAACTGGGACGATTTGAATCGTCGGTATAATGAGATATTAGTACAAGCATACAAAGGAGACGACCTACCAATGCCGGATCATGTGTAGGTTTTCAGCTGAATTTAAATAACATGTGGCGAACATAAAATCTAGATATATGAGAGTAATATAATTGTCATAGACAAAATTAAGGCAAAGTTTTTTGTGTTTTTAGCGTAGCCTATAAATTATCACCTAAAATGATGGAATTTTATCACTCGTGGGACCAATTAATCGCCGATCGAATACATTACAAAAAGGACGAGAGCAAGAATCGTTGGGATTATCAAAGAATAGCAGCGTAATTTTGTATAATTGCGTGTGTTCGCTCAAATTACTCTATTTTTGTTAGATCTGATCTGATAGACTTATTTGTTGTTTAAGATTCGGAGTTATTCGGTGATTTTTATAATCGTATTTATAATACTCATAATTTACTATTTCTAATTGCAGTAAAATAAATTTTACTGAAAAACACGATAAAAATTTAAAACTTATATTTTTGTAGTTAAAATATTATTATAAATGCGAATTATTATACGTAAAAATATGATATTTTAAAAAGTAATAAAAATGGTATTGGATACTAGACTGGCTGTAATAAATATGTATTAACAATGACGTTTTTACTATTACTATCTCTTTCGTTTGTTTCTAGTACAGCATATTTTCTAGTATAATACATTTCCCATTGCTTAACATTTTAAACATACATAAAAGTATTCTATTGCATTTAAAAAATTAACTTTCAAGCAGAAATTATAAATTAAAATTGAAACTGGCAAAACCTGGAAGATTGATTCGAAGTGTTGGCCAATGAAATCTTCCCGCTAACAAAGCGGCATACAAAACGTTCGATACTCCAGCCGTGGGGTCCAATGATACGGCAGCGATTCTAGTCACATGGTATGCGTTTCTACGCCAGCAAAGCGGGAACGTTGCTCGCCAATTGGTCGTACAACGCGCATTTACAATGCTTTAACAGCGCGCATATCGGCGTCGTAGGAGAGGCTCGGGAGACGCTTGACGGCCTAAAAGCGTGCTCCCGACTCACGACGCACGCAGTGTGTCGGTAGCACGTACGCCGGTGAAGTACGATATTAAAATTCAAAATGTCCAGCGTCGCGTCCACCGGGCTCAATGGCGCGATCAATAGTTATCTTCTTTTAGAAGACGGTAGTGTTTTTCCGGGACGACGCTTCGGTGCCGACGTATCCGTTGACGGTGAAATTGGTGAGTTCATGCGTAAGCGTGAACACGTGCTCCTCTCAGCCGGAGCCGTATGCGTGCACGTGCATCCTGTTTCCCATGCTGACTTTCTTTAACCGGAAAGCATTGGCTGCGCGCACGATGGCATAATAAGATTGGGACACACCATCTGATCTGCATGACAAACACCTGTCGATATTAACATATTGCGAATGGCATTAACATTATTTTTATTGATCGCACATAGATAAAGAAACGCTGTATGTTTTTGTGTAATTTATCGGAGGCATTTACGATGCAGTGTCATTGCTTGATGTTAAATATGTGGTAAAAATTGTATATCTGAAGTGTATAGTAGCTTCTAAAATAATATAACATTTGTCAGTTAAAAAATTTGTGCTATAGAAGACTGCTATTTGACTATATTGTTTCTTATCGGCATAAAGAAGTAGTAGATATGATAAAAATATATTCACTTTTAGTGTAGGACGTTTTTAGAAGCATATCTTCTACGCAGATATTGACCTTTAAAACGTAATATCGATTCGTCAATTGTAAAGTAGAGCGTCAATAAAAAATGTCTTTCCTTTTTCTTTCATTTAATGATTAATATCCTTGATAAACAATTTTTTTTTTAATTTTATTTAATTTGCTTTGTTATATACTTTTTAAAAGTTTAAAATTAAAATTGAAATTTTCGTCGAGAAAGAGATAATTGGACAAATTAACATTGATTCGCGAATCCGTTGTTACATTTAACGATGAAAAACTCATATTACGTTTTAAGAATTAATAATCGTATTTTATTTAAATGTAAATTAATATATTGAATTACACATATATTAATATATAATTGCAAAATGCAGTTTTCCTACGTTCAGCAAAAATTCCGAATTTAAAATATTGTGATATTGAATAAGAAATATTAGCAATTATTTAGATCTCTTTAAATTGCTCGAATTTTTTTTAAATAAAAGTTACTAAAAAACATTGTTTCTTACATTTAAATGTCTTTAATACTGCAAAAATTACTGCTACAATTTTAGATATTACTTTTCTAATTTATTCAACACTCGAACACGGTGTTACTCGTTTGTATTCGTTGTTACTTCCAACCGGTTAACGGTGATAAGCCGTCTAAAATGATTACGTTGCAAATGTGGATGTCAGATAGACGTGGTTGATCAAATCTCGCTAGTCTTAAATTACGGTGTATACGTGTGTAGTATATGATATATCTTTATCTTAACATAAATTCATAGAAGCGGCAGAAAGGAAAAAGAAAAAGGGCGGTAGACGCAATCTCTTAAAATAGACATAATATATATTTCGCAATTTTAATATATATTATATATTATTAATATTAATATATTAATATATTGTGAATTTGACACATATTAACAAATATGTGACTTGTAATCGTATATTGTCTAAAGCAATACTAAAAGATCTATCGAATTAATGCAAACTTGTTGATATAAACTTGTTGATGTAAAGTTACGTACACACACACATAATAATTTCTCACTTAGAAATCCTCACGCATTATATTGCGTGGAAAATTTTCAAGCTTACACACGCGTATCACTGCACAATAACAACGTAGGCAATTAACATGTCGTTGAATAAATTTTGTTTCAAAGGTCAAAAGTTTCGAGCAGTTAATTTTTAGCAGCATCTTTCAATCTGTTGCCAGCACCTTTCATCATTAATTATTATTAACATTTCATAAATGTTAAATTAATTTTATTAATGTTTGATGTATTTATATTTCATATGCGCGTAATATATGGTAATTATTACCAACAAGCATGTATAGTTGTAAAAATCGATTGAAAATTCAGAGTCCGCGAAATAATAAATTTTTTGCGCGAGAATTAACATTCTAATCTTAATCAATAAGATACATATATATATATTTATAATAAATATATATTTTGCAATATATCAATTTTAGTTCGAACTACTTCGTTCTGATTGTGCAGCAATTTCCATATATTATTGTATCATTATTATAGAAATTATTTAATTAATTGTGCGGAATTTTTCGAATTTGTATTTTACTACAAAAAGTATGTCGTGCAAAATGAGATAATGCGTGTGTACTTCGTGCCTATGTGCAAATATAAAGACTATTACCTCTTTTACAGTTTTCCAGACTGGTATGATCGGTTATCCGGAGTCACTTACGGATCCTTCTTATCACGCTCAGATTTTGGTACTCACATACCCGCTCATAGGAAACTATGGCATCTTTGGTGAAAACGAAAAGGATGAATACGGCATACCGTAGTAAGTGGTTGCAATCAGGTTCAACTCAGTGCCTATTAACGACTTCACTCAATGACAATATTAATCTTTGTCCATTGCACGTGCATCGAACTGACCAAAGCAGCAATACGCTTTTTCCATGATACCTAAAACACATTTTTAAAATATTATTAGCGTGAAGTTTGTAAGAAAAATAATGTGCAAAATATTAAACAACATTACTTTAGTAAAAATTATTTATCTTTTTTTATAGAAGTATACTTTTTTATGCATTAAAAAAATGATCTTCCAATTACATTTTAAAATTTTTTATATCAATCAACAGAAAAATGCCAAATGTAAAGTATATTTCTTATAAAATACCTGTAAGAAAAACTTTTTTAAATTTTCTGCGCGTTTATAAATTAAGAAATAATATGCGTGTGCAAATATCAAAAGTTTTACTTTGTACATTGATTAGTGAATATTAATTTTGACACAGCTGGTTCGAGTCCCATCGTATTTGGGCTGCTGGACTCGTGGTCGGAGAAATTTGCGAAAAGCCTAGCCACTGGCGACAAACCAAGACGTTGTCCGATTGGATGAAAGAGCAAAACGTACCCGGGATATGTGAGATTGACACACGAGCATTGACAAAAGTTATTAACCAAAAAGGTACTATATTGGGCAGAATAGTTCTTGGTCAACCGCCACATACTCTGCCAATAACGCCTCCAATAGAAGATCCTAACAAGAGAAACCTCGTTGCGGAAGTTTCTCAGGTAATAACGAGCATCTTGCCTGATGCTTCGATTTTATTTAATTTTTTTAAGGTAGTCCTTTTTCGCAGCACCTAAGTCAAAGTAACAGTCCGTGGCTGCATTCCGACTACCTTAAACCGTTGTACCATTTACGAATAATCAAATGTAATACAAATGTATTAACAGGCGAATGCGTTAATATTCTCGCATATAAAGCTACTTAAATGAAAGCGACACTTTTTCAACAAAGAGAGTTTTGTACAAATATATGTAATATTTTTCAGCCGATTCCCAAGACGTATAATCCGAACGGGCGTCCTCGTATATGTGTAATTGATTGTGGCTTAAAATACAACCAACTGAGATGCCTGTTGAAACGTGGTGCTCGCGTGGATGTCGTGCCATGGAACTACGACTTCAAAACTGCCGAATACGACGGTCTGTTCCTGAGCAATGGCCCGGGTGATCCCAGCATGAGCCAAGTGACTGTAGAAAATATCCGAGAGGTACTCAAACAGAAAAGACCCATCTTCGGCATATGTCTTGGGCATCAACTGCTCTCCATAGCCGCTGGTTGTGTCACATACAAAATGCGGTACGTATACCAAAATGAATCACATGTGTCAACACTGCTCTCATTAGCAAATACTGCTAGAAAAACAAGAAAGACCGTTAGAAATTCACACATTCTTATCACAGATGTTTTAATCCCGATATTCCTTACTTCTATTCTTTGTTTCTACCGTTAGACGAATCATTGTTCTGTCATGCGCGAATAGTCTGTGTATGTAATACGAAGTATAATAGCCGACTGTTACAAGCGATGCCTGTCACTCATTTTGCAGATACGGCAATCGAGGGCACAATCAACCGGCGACGCATAACGTTACCGGACGTTGTTACATGACCTCGCAGAATCATGGATTTTGCGTCGATGCTGCTCAAATGCCGGTTGATTGGGAGGTGCTGTTCACCAACGCCAATGACAATAGCAATGAAGGTGTAATCCACTCCGTCTTGCCGTATTTTTCCGTTCAATTTCATCCGGAACACACAGCAGGGCCTGAGGATCTCGAATGCCTTTTCGATGTGTTCCTGGAAAGTGTGAAAGACCAGGTTAATAATCGTCCTTGCGTTTCTATAAAGAATAGGCTCACTGAGAGGCTGACCTATCGACCTTCGGTCCCAATCGTGACCGCAAAACCGAAAAAGATATTGATTCTGGGCTCGGGAGGACTCAGCATCGGCCAGGCCGGAGAATTCGATTATTCGGGCTCGCAAGCGATTAAAGCGTTAAAAGAAGAGTCCATACAGACTCTCTTGATAAATCCTAATATCGCCACGGTGCAAACGTCAAAAGGGATGGCTGACAAAGTATATTTCTTGCCAATTATACCGGAATATGTAGAACAGGTAAGCTTAGTTGCACTTAAAGTCCAAAGAACGAAAATTCTCAGATTAATGACTTATCACTAATAACTATAATTTGAATAATGTACCAATATACCTTTAAACATCGTTAACATTGATGCAGAATGTTTCATTTGACGTAAACCAGTTAAACATTGAAATATAGATATCAAATTTTACCTAATATTTAACATTAAAATTAAAAGAACATTTGTTCAATAATTTGTTTTAGGTAATACGATCCGAAAGACCGGATGGTGTATTATTGACATTCGGCGGGCAAACCGCCCTAAATTGTGGTGTAGAACTTGAGAAGAACGGCGTGTTCGCCAAGTACAATGTTAAAATTTTAGGGACGCCAATCGAATCTGTTATACAAACCGAGGATAGAAAGATTTTCGCAGAACGTATTAGCGAGATAAATGAAAGAGTTGCACCGAGTGCTGCTGTGTACTCCGTAAAGGAGGTAAATGACTCACTATAGTGATCTTTTTTACAGATTTAAATATTTTTAGTTCATATCAATATAACATATCAATCTTGAATATATTTTAAATGATTTTCGTCCACGATAAAATTTGTAGCTGCTGATAAATAATTGAAATTTTTTGAACAAATTTTATAACATTTTTTATATTTTTATAAAATGAGAATTCCATGTCTAATGTATCGCCAACATACATTTACTTTTGATATACAATTTCTTTCTAAACAGGCATTAGAAGCTGCTGAAAAACTGGGCTACCCCGTAATGGCACGCGCTGCGTTCTCGCTCGGTGGTCTCGGGTCAGGCTTTGCTAACACGAAAGAGGAGCTGAAGACACTGGCGCAACAAGCTCTAGCTCACTCCAATCAATTAATAATCGACAAATCTCTGAAGGGCTGGAAGGAGGTGGAATATGAGGTTGTCCGCGATGCATACGACAACTGTATCACGGTGTGCAATATGGAGAATGTCGATCCACTCGGCATACACACTGGCGAGTCGATCGTTGTCGCACCGAGCCAGACCCTGTCGAATAAAGAGTACAATAAGCTGCGAACTACTGCCATTAAGGTCATCAGGCACTTCGGCATCGTCGGGGAATGTAACATCCAGTACGCGCTAAATCCATTCTCCGGAGAGTATTACATTATCGAAGTGAATGCCAGACTGTCCAGAAGCTCGGCTTTGGCCAGCAAGGCTACGGGTTATCCTCTGGCTTACGTAGCTGCCAAATTGGCTCTTGGAATACGCCTGCCGGATATCTGTAATTCTGTTACCAAACAGACGACGGCCTGCTTCGAGCCAAGTCTTGATTACTGCGTGGTAAAAATACCGAGATGGGATCTTAGCAAGTTTCAACGCGTCAGCACGAAGGTATTGAATTAATTTCTTAATTTTTAACTGCGATTTGCTTCGCTGATTCATTGAAACTTGAACCACGGGATTGAACGTCAATCAAAAATTTAGTAGAATTAAAATTTAAAAACGCACAAAAAGCTAATCAAAGTAAAATTATGTGATTTTTATCAATAATGCAAATTTATATTTATATGAATTTTTTACTTTAACATAGTTTATTTTAAAATACATATTACATTTTCTAATAACCGCAATACATTTCAGATCGGCAGTTCCATGAAGAGTGTGGGAGAAGTGATGGCGATTGGTCGTAAATTCGAGGAAGCCTTCCAGAAGGCATTGAGAATGGTCAACGAGAATGTGAACGGCTTCGATCCTTACGTCAAACCGGCGAACGACGAAGAATTGGAGAAGCCGACCGACAAAAGGATGTTCGTTCTCGCGGCTTCGATCAAAGCCGGTTACTCGATCGACCGGTTGTACAAACTCACCAAGATAGATCGCTGGTTCCTCGAGAAGATGAAGAACATCATCGACTATTACGTGCTGCTGGAGAATACCGATCATACGAAACTCATGCGCGACTTGCTGTTGGGCGCAAAGCAGAACGGCTTCTCGGACAAACAGATCGCCGCGATAGTGAAGAGCTCCGAACTGGCTGTCAGAATACAGAGACAGGAAAATAAAATTCTGCCGATGGTCAAGCAAATCGACACAGTGGCCGCTGAATGGCCGGCCACTACGAACTACCTTTATCTAACGTACAATGGCTCTACTCACGACGTAGAATTTCCTGGCGGATATACAATGGTGATAGGTACAGCGTTGAATAATTATCGTTGATTAATCGCAGCAAAACTTCTTGAAGCAACAAGACTTCTTTAATAAGAAAATACTATTTTGTTTTGTACGCGCCCAACTAATAAGAGATTATCGATTTAAACATAATTTAAAGGTGGACATAAACGATATATTGTTGCAAATGAGAAATTTAATGTTTCTTTCAGGCTCTGGCGTGTACAGAATCGGCAGCTCGGTAGAATTCGATTGGTGTGCCGTGAGTTGCCTGAGAGAACTGCGAAATCTTGAACGTAAGACCATCATGGTGAATTACAATCCAGAGACAGTTAGTACAGACTACGATATGAGCGACAGATTGTACTTCGAGGAGATCTCATTCGAGGTGGTGATGGACATATACGACTGTGAGTGTCCTGAGGGTATAATTCTATCCATGGGTGGACAACTACCTAACAATATTGCCATGGATCTGCATAGACAGCAGGCTCGGATCCTCGGAACCTCCCCGGAATCCGTCGACGGTGCCGAAAATCGTTTCAAGTTCTCCCGTATGCTTGATAGCATCGGTATATCGCAGCCCAGGTACAAATTTTACTAGATATACATAAATACATACATACATTTGTTGTGATTATTCCCGTAATTTGTTTCTTTTTTTTATTTAAGATGGAAAGAACTAACAAACTTGAAGTCGGCGATTGAGTTTTGCGAGGAAGTCGGCTATCCATGCCTTGTGAGGCCTTCGTATGTGCTAAGCGGAGCTGCGATGAACGTTGCCTATTCGAATCAAGATCTCGAGTCTTATTTGAAAAGCGCGAGCGAAGTCAGCAAGGAACATCCCGTGGTAATATCGAAGTTTATCCTCGAGGCGAAGGAGATTGACGTCGACGCCGTAGCTTACGAGGGGATTATTTTATGCATGGCAGTATCCGAACACGTGGAAAATGCTGGCGTTCATTCGGGTGATGCCACGTTAGTAACACCACCGCAGGACATCAACATGCAAACCCTAGCGAAGATAAAGACGATCTCTAAAGCAGTAGCAGCGTCTTTGGGAGTCACTGGTCCTTTCAACATGCAGCTAATTGCGAAGGTACGTATTGTTTAATTTTTATGTGTTTAAAAATTAATGAATTAAATTTAATAACGCACAATTATTATTATCTTTAAAATAATACTTTTATATTGCCTATCTAATTTTACAATTGCACATTACTTTCATACTTTTGTTGCTTAGACATCAAAAATATTAGTTGTACAGATTGATATATAGATTTTATTATATTTTATATTTAACAAAATTGATAATTAGTAACATTTTTTTGTGCAGAATAACGAGCTGAAGGTGATTGAGTGTAACGTAAGAGTATCCAGGTCTTTCCCCTTCGTCTCCAAAACTTTAGATCACGATTTTGTAGCGACGGCAACTCGTTTAATCATGGGGTTAACAGTTGAACCTGTGGACGTTTTAGCTGGCTGTGGAAAAGTTGGAATAAAAGTTCCACAATTTTCCTTCTCTCGTCTTAAAGGTAAAAACATTAGTTTTATATATAATTTACGGAAATTGTAACTTTTGGCAACATTATACACTACATCCAAGTTTCTTAATTATCTAATATTATTATTTTTTAAATATTTTTGTGTGATAAACCTTCTTTTTTCATGATTAACTTTGCTTTTAAATTGTTTCTTCTAAATTATTTGAACTCTAAAAAAGTTTTGCTCAAAGTTTAAAAAGATTATTAGCTATTATTAGATTAATTGGTTTATAATGTAGTTTTAAAAAATCATTAAAATATAATTGATATTAACTTACTTGAAGGCGCTGATGTAACGTTGGGTGTTGAGATGGTATCTACTGGAGAAGTAGCTTGTTTCGGCGAGAATCGTTATGAAGCTTACCTGAAAGGCATGATGAGCACCGGTTTTCATATACCACAAAGAGGTATTTTGCTATCTGTGGGAAGTTTCAAGCATAAAATGGAGTTGCTTGAGTCTATCAGAAATCTAAAGAACATGGGATACAAGTTGTATGCTAGCATGGGTACCGCTGACTTTTATACCGAGCATGGTGTCGAGGTAAGTAAAAAGATCTCATTATATAAATGTTTCATGTCGTTTTGAATATAATATTTAATTATCACTCGCGTGTGATCACGTATATAGAAAGAATTATTTACACGTAATATTTACAAGAATGATTAAAAGAAGAAGATATTTGTGAAAGATGTGTCCGCACATTGGTTAAATTTGTGGAGTTTTTACAATTTGAATTATAACATGTAAAATATAATACTGTACTGTAAAATATCATACATGATTCTACAGTATGAATATTTGAATCAAAGAGATATCACATTTAATCGTGATAAAATAAGGGATTTAATGAACTGACAATAGATACAAAGATAATGAGATTAATGATAACGAAATAATGAAAGATAGAGTAGTGAAATCATTAGATTAGTGTATAAAGTTCAAAAAGACAAATGATAAGTGTGTTATGAGGTATAAAATTAATCGATTTCTTCTTTAAATTAGAAATATTTCTTAATAAAAGATTCTTTTTTGAAACACGTAATCCAGCAACACGATCTACTAAGCTAAGTACACTGACGGTGCGTTACGATGACATTGCTATCTTACAAAAGCAACTTGGCTAGTTGGCTGAACCTGACTGCAGCTATTTTTATAAATTATTTTAACTATTGCTAATCACTACATGTGTGTGTGTGTGTGTGTGTGTGTAGTGTAATCACTACATGTATGTTCGCTTTTGCATAACGCGATGATCGAATATCGACAATTCGCAAGCATACGATTATCGCACGCTCAGTCTTCCTCGATTACTTACTAAATCAATTATCGATCACTCTCGAAATATAACAATAAATACTATGCTTCGAGGGTGATCATTGAATACAAAGATTTGTCTTGTATCTTGCTTCTTTTTTCCACAGATCATCTACGCCCTATTCCTAAACACATGTATATGTCGTATCGTTTAGATTGTCCGCTAGAGAGACCACTTTCCGTACTGTGCCCGAGGCCGAGTCGCCCGAGTCACCCTGATCCTTCGATATAGGCTTCCTCGAAGTGTAAGAACTTTCGTCCTCGCTGATAATCACACTCGCAGCATCCGCTTGCGCGTCTCCCTCAATCGTAAATCGTATTTCGGGGACAGCTGTTTTCGTGACCTTATTCGTGTGATCTTCATGACTAGATTGCGATTGCTCGTTCTTTGGTAGCTTCATCATCTCAGCGAATTGTCGCGTGAAACGATCTTTCAGGGTGCCGCTGAATATAGGCTCTTGAATATTCCTCTTAGGCGTTTCCGGTGGCTCGTTCTGCGATCTCGTTGAATTCATCGTCGGTTTCATTCTCAGATCATAGATCTTCTTGCGATAAGCCTTAGCGTCGTCCTTGTACCTGGTCATCTCCGATAGGATAATCGACAATCGATCCGCTTGATCAAGATAAACCTGTTTCTGCTGATAAGCCCGATACCTATGACAGCACTCGGCCATTTTAATGAAGTGCGTGATGAAGAAGTCCAACAGAGCGGCCAGCCTTAGACCCTCCAACTCGGCACACCGTTCCTGGAAAAGAAAAGGAAAAAAAATGAGACGGGAATGTTAACCCTGACTCTTGATCCGCTAATCGCGAGAGAATACGGTGATAAGATTAGATTCGCGGGAAGTCGTGTAGTATGTGTAGTAATGTGTCGCGCTGGATTGCTCATTACGGACGCCGATCGATAATCTTATCGCTTGAGGAACTCACCGAGATCTCGACGATAGAATCCGTGGCCTTGCGCGGGGTGATGAGCGTTTTGTAACCCGCGGTTATTGGCGCACTGTAGTTTGAATTCTTTTTTCGATTCTTGTCCCAGAATCCGCCGGATTTGTTATAGATCTCCTCTCTGTAGGACTCGTCGAGCTTCGACGATGACAAACGGTACATGTCTAAGGCTGGATTCACCACCGACATCCACGGCTTCGTCAATATGTTGAACAGCTTCGTAAAGTTTAATCGTGGGAAGAACTTGTTGCTATGCTTGATATTCTCCATCGCGTGGAACACATACATGACGGGGTTCTCGGTTATCCTCTTCAGTTGCTTCTGGCTGTGCAACAGGTAGTCGGGGGGCACTTTATTAAACACATTTTTATCGCGAAGAAAATAGTCCGGTAGAGTTGGCTCGTTCAGACTGATGCAGCGATAGAGGCTGTTCAGCAGCTTGACCAGGCACTCGCCGGTCCGATTGTCGGGCCACTTGGAGGGTCGGTCGTTCTCCTCGATCAACCAGAACAGCTTATTTCTAATGTGAGATGTGGTCAGGCCGTACATCGTGTCCAGAACTGGTCTTAGAAAGGTCTTATGAAGCATCAACGCGATCAGGTACACTTGCACTTGCGAGCGCGTCATGCAGCACTCCAGATACCGTTCCGCAGCTGGGAACGTCAGCTGCCACTCGATTTCCTGGTGGATATTCTTCTTGGCGACTCGATGGCGCCAAGACAGTTCTCTCGGCATAAGGTTCCTCTTTCTCGGTAGAGAGTCCTCGGGCACCACGTAGCAGCCAAAGTCCTTCACTTTGTTGATGTCGTTGTACTCGGGCCAGGTGCTCCTCGGCCTATCCAGCCACTCCTGTGCGTATTCCGGCCATTGCAGCCATATCGTCGGCGAGATCTCGTAGGACTCGATCCTGCGCAGCCTGGGATTGTGCGAGTCAATTACCTTGTCACAGTAAATGACCGACTCCTCCACGCGATTCAGATCTTCCGGTTTAAAACCCAGGGGCTTCGCCAATTGGTCTACGAAGAGGTCGACAAAGTAGTTCATGAATACTTCACTACTAGTGTAGAAGACGTCGCAGTCGTATTGCCTGTCGGCAATCATGAGGCGAAGCTGTTTGTTGTTCTGCGCCTTTCGCTCCAGTCGCAACGTGTAGATCTTGCCGTCGTTGGTGATCCTCATCTTCTTGAAACACTGCGTCGGAATCCTCGCGTTCGAATAGATCTTCGTGGTTGCGTCCGTAGCAGTCTCGGTCCCGTTACGAGTAGCTTGCACATTAGGTTTTGGCAGAGTTTGGTAACTCCAGTCGCTATCGCTGTCGCAAGCTCCGGATCGGTAGCCGGAACTCGAGCTGCTTCCCGGCCTGCGGACTTTCTGCCCCGCCGATTTCAACTCGCTGGATCGGGGATAACGCTGGTAACTCCCTTTCCTGGCCTGCGTCGACCACGTTTCCTTGCCTTGACACCTTCTCTCCTCCGTCGAGGACATGTGCTCGCAATCAGACTCGGCTTTGATGTCATGATTGGATCGGGTTCCATAAATATTTTTACGGGAGAGGGATATTTGGTCCTCGTATATTGTCTCGTCGTCATGTAGATTGGGCAAAGATCTGACATTGAAAATTGATGAGGTCTGGAGACCTCTCTTTCTGATTTGATGCGTCATGTTCGAACGGCCATAAATGCTCTCGCTGTCGCCATCGTATATCTCGTCGTCATCCGCCATTGAAGAAGGATTGATATCTTCTTCCTTGGTGGAGTTCCCCGCGTACGGCGTTTCGTCGAGACGTCGCAACCGCACGTATCCTATCAGAACATTTGTGATTTTAGCCCTATGCTACTAAATTCAATAAGAAATTCTTTCTATACAAAGAATTTTATTTGAAGCTATTTCAATTAAATAAAATCTAACTTTAACTCTCATCAAATTCCATAAATTTTGTCAAGAGAGAGAGAGAGTTTCTAATATTATATTCACAAGTTTATATAATAGCTTGAAAAACACAAATTATTAAAACTAATATGCTTATGTGAAAATAATTTTAATTTAAAACTTTCTTCAAATTGAATTATGGAATAAAATTTTATTTTACATATTTTGTGTTTAAAATTTGCTTTGCGAAAATATTTCAAATTTTAAACAGTCTTTTTGTATAATTTAAACCATTGATTAATTACATTCTTGTTAAAAACAAATTTACTTCAAATTGAGCCAAGAACACATTAGGAAAAGAAGCAAAGACAATCTGAGATACTTTATGAGCTAGTTGGAGCTAGTTTACTCACCGGGGTGCTCACTTGGTTGTACCATCATATTATACGTAATCCCATTGTTCAAGCTACTATACTCTGATGGATAATGTTGCTCTGTAATTTCGATATTGTCGTGCACAACAAAAATGCGGACGGGTTGCAACGGTTCTATGATAAGATCACCGGTTTGTCTTTTTGAAGTAAAGGCGATGTTATGCGAGATATGCTCCTGAAGAACATCCGGCAACAAAACGTGCTTTTGAGATGGTAGCATCTTATTTAATTCGCTTTCGTAGGACAATGCCAGAGTCTCTTTAATTTGAACTATATCTCTGTAAAAGTAGTTTTCCAACAGTTAGTTTTGCATAGTCTGTCATTATCAGGATCTATACATCTAATTACATTTATCTTTACGTAGTATATATGTTTTACTGACACTTCTTTCTGCACTGCATTCATTATTATAATTAATTAAAACTTCAACATATAAAAGTAGAAATAAATGTTTAAAAGATTTTTTAAAAATAATTGTCAATATTAGAATATGAGAAAAATAATAAAAATATAATATTATAGTGTAATAAACTAACATTCTTATGAATAATTTATTTGAATTAATTCTTGTTCAATATAATATAAATAATATTGCAGTATAAATCTTTATTGCACATGAAAAGGCGATTCTTTATCTTGCGAAAGTGCGCATGGTCACAGTTTCGAGGGGATTTACCGCATTGCGGATTAAAAAACAAATTGTTAAGAATTCATGAGTGCACTTCCTCCACTCTTGATATCACAAGGAATATTTTTCATATATAAGAATTTGTAGATTAGATTTAATCAAGTTGAATTCTTAATCACGAAATAATCCCCAGAATCCTAATAAATTTCCGGTCATAATATAGAAGATATATAAATAATATGGCTGTCCTTCATAAATAAATCGGTACTAGTTTCACTGTTACGCTTTTTCTAATCTCTTAACAGTATTTCAACTTGAAAGTGCAAGTATTTATTTAATGGCACTAAGCTTTATCCTCTGAAATAATCTTTATTAAGATTATTTGTTAATATATAGCATGTACTGAATATTGTATCCCATTTCAAAGTCCGTTTACATTCTCAATTGATTGTGCCACGAACTATTATTATTCCGCAACAAATCACCGTGAAAAAAAAAAACATTGGAACGGGAGTGCTTACTCCTCGTAATTCTCGAAGAACTGGATACACATCATGAGATTGTTTAGGATGAAAGTGTTAGGATCGTTTACGATGGCCTTCCTCAGCAGCATCAATTCCACATCCTCGTACTCGTCCACCTGTTGGCTGGCTACACCCTTTGATTTGGATCCGTAGTTACTGTTTCCCGAATGGGCATCTCTCTTGTGTTTTGATTTTGTGAGTCCCATTGTCCCTTTTCACCCAATGACATAACAAAGTGCACACATACGAGAGAGAGAGAGCGAGAGACGGCCACGTGGAGTATCCCCACGTGGGGCGCGCGTCCTCAGGATCGGTCGCGGTACCACTATAAGCCACTTCGGGGGTTTTCACTATAGATCACCGACACACTCCTTCATTCTAGTTTCAAGGTCAACGAAAACGGGGACGCAGCATTGTGCGTACGCGCGTGAGGCCACGTCGATGACCGGTGAGGCAGTAGTCTTCTCGCGGGATATTGGGGTCGATAAATAGCTATCACGTTATCGCTTTTAATCGTCCGCTCACTATTGGGCATCGGCAAACATGCCCGATGTAAAATACTTGTGGAAGATCGCGCTGGCATCGGGTAAGATAAAGCTTCGGTATTCCACTGGCGAGCTCGCCAGTGTCCAGCAATATCATATCACTTATCTTGGATCATATATAATTATAGGTACAATGCATCAGCCGTTAAGAAGCGGTATATTTAGAACAATCTTCATTATTCTCTTTTCACATCCATATCCTATCAATATTTCCTCTTCTCCTGACGGTATTTCCTAGGTCTGATTATCGCGTCTGTTAATCCTCAACTAAACAAGTAACTTTTATCAGTAAAGCCGTATTTTATCTTCTCCCTAATAATATCTGCTAACCTACATTTTTTACATATCAACCGTACGTTTTTTACATAAAACAAACATTTCTATTTTAGATTTTTAGTCAATAAGTTCCAAGTATAATTAAATATAATGCAAAATATTAATGCTAGCCAAAAATATGCGCCAGTCTTGTATAGCAGCAAGTATAGTAGCAATTACTAAAAGGGAAGTTGTTGATATAATGATTAAGTTACAGTAATATTGATTACTTGATGTAATCTTCCCTCTCCGACCGTGTGTAATCAGTTTTTCTTGTACTATTACCCAATAGACGCGCACACAAAAGATTGCAGAAAACATTGTAATAGCGCACCCGTTGTGGATAAGGAATATCATCGTAAAATTATTATTGAGGTAATCCTCACGAGTTATCGTACATAGACCCGCGTCCAGGTCTATCTGCGGGTTTCTCTCGAAACGCTATCGAATTTCGCGGTATCGCTCTTCGCACAGGACCATAGTACTCCACACGGTAACATTTATTTCGTCAATTGACGTCACGTACGGCAATATCGCGAATAAAAATTGCTACCGTTATCTAATCTGTGCGTGAAATTACCTTATCAAGGTAATTTGGCAAATTACGAATTAATTAAATTCCGAAGCATGGTTACAAATCGGTATTGTTCCTCTCGACGTATATCTTCGATTGCCCTAAAAACGGGCAGCAAGTTTGCTCTTCTGAAAGATGAGAAAAGATATCGATCTTAACGATCAAGGTCTCTTTCAGAATATTCTGATAAACCAAAGATTGTGTGCCAGTAATCTCCACTGGTCGATATCTTCTTCGACGATCGCGGCACAGTGGTGCGGAAACTAACAAAAATTGAAATTTCTCTACAAAATATACAAATATCTCCATGATTTTGATTTGTTAATTAATACGAAAAGTCACGAAATGTCAAGAACGGCATTTTGGAGATAACATTCTTTCTATACTTCTGAACTAAAAATATACTTAATATGAAAACTTAATATAGATTTTTTTGAGTCTGTAAATGTTATGAATGAAATAGTTAAATTATTACATTTTAAAACAATTTTTAGATATTTTAATATGCGATATTATATGTATATAAATTACAAATAAAAAACTAATCCAAAATGTACGAAAATCTAAAATAATATTAAATTCCCCTTTGCAAACAATCTTCGGTCCTGTTATATTAAAGTGTGCCGCATTTAGGCACCGCTGAGGCATCAAATCGCGTAACGTTAAATATGCAAACAATACTTTTTAGTAGTACAAGTGGCGATTATCAAGGTGATAACGTCTATCTTTGTAGAATGTTATATATCTATTAAACATTTTAAAAGTTAATCACTTATGTGTGATATACTTATACATATATGTTGTAACAAGTTAAATTGTTACAGGTAGAACCGGTACAATGGACGTTCGAAAACATCGCCGTGAACGAGGATTCCAGTCCGAGCCAGCTTCGGCATCTCGCCGATTTCTTGTCGAAAAAGCAATTCGATCTCGTGATCAATCTGCCGATGAGAAACGGCGGTGCTCGGCGTGTTTCCAATTTCATGACGCATGGTTACCGAACGAGAAGACTAGCCATCGATTATTCCGTACCTTTGATTACGGATGTTAAATGCGCGAAGCTCCTAGTTGAAGTAAGTATCCAGATTTTCGATCCTACTAAAGAGACGTCGTGTGCAAAATAAATTTTATTTCAAAAAGTAATTTGATTAAATAGTACGATTAAAATAAGCTTACGTGACGTTACCTTCTAATTTAAAACTACATTTTATATCAAACCTGCGTCAGTGATCAAAGATCGTTTTTGATAAACAAGATTATATTACTCACTCTTACTCATAACATTTTGTGCACATTGTTGATAAGGCATATTAGGTACAAAGTTCACTTCAGGACCCACATATTTTAAGATTATATTTAATCTTAATTTTCAAAAATTTAAACACTATTTTAGCATTTATGTGATAAAAAGAAATATTTTATAACTGAATATCGAAGTTTATTTTAGAGCCTACATACATTTGAAATTCTAATCCTTATATGCTAATGTTTTAAAAAATTATCGAGATTTTTTTACAAATATATTATCATTTATTACAATTATTAATATTTAAATTTGATGATAATTGCGATAGTATCTATAAATTTATTTAAATAAATAAAATTCGTTTACTAAAAAATATATTTAAAAATATTTAAATAATTGGTTAAAAATTATTAATAATTTTTTCAATTCTCAATGATTGAGTTACATTTTTTGTAATGATTAAGAGTATAGGTATAACTAGTTATCGATATGTCGATGCGTCGAAATACAGATAACATAAATATAATATACCAAATTACTTTATTGATAAGATATCAAAGGTTTAACGTAAGAAAAGCAATAATATATAATAAAATATTTAACTTAATATAAAAGATAGCATTTAAATTTTTAATTCATCGTTATAAATAATCTTCCTTCAAGACAGACAAATAATCTTCCATCAAGGCACTTGTATCTCGTTTTGATCATTCAAGTGCATCATACGATTACACTATGCACGCGCAACTTTGTATCAATTGTATAAGATTATGTGATCGCGAATGATGACGATAATAAGTGAAAGAATAAATGAATAAAAGAAATAATAATAATTGTCTCGCTTCTTCTTTGTGTAGGCATTGACAATGGTCGGCGGGAAAGCACCGCGTATGAAAACGCATATCGATTGTATCTCATCACGTAAAATGATCAGACTACCCGGCCTTATCGATGTGCACGTACATACCCGCGATCCTGGAGCGGTCCACAAAGAAGATTTCGCCTCTTGCACCGCGGCAGCGCTCGCTGGGGGCATAACAACCATTTTTGCAATGCCCAATACTAATCCTGCGGTAGTAGATCACAAGACTTTTGCTATTGCTAAAGCGGTAAGAAATTTTTCATATAGATATCTTAAGGTTTAACTGTAGATTTTTCACGCATCTTATATTTATATTTTATATCCATTGTCAACAAAATTGTAGTCAAATTAAATTTAAACTGCAGTTAGAATAATTGATTTTTTTTATTTCTTCGAACACAAAAAGATTTATTCATAATTTTTTATCTATAAATATTAAAGCGTAAAATTTTAACTTTGTGGAAAATTGGTACCAAAAAGCTTTCCAGAAGACTTAGATTTATGAGCATAAATAGAAATTTTGATGATAAATTAGCGCTATCTTGTTTTATTTTAATCACACATAGCAACAAAATTTTCTGATTAATTGTGAATTATCTCTATTAAACAAAGCTTTCATATGTTGAATATTTTATACTGATTTTCTTTTATTTAATACGAGTAAAATTTATAAGACGTTTAACAAATTAAGTCATTATTCACGCATGATACGTAGAGAAGGCAATAGACATACAAAAATTAGTTCTAAAATACAATTCCAAGTTTCGTGTATCTACCTTATTATCACTTAGAAGTTGATAATAAGAAATCAAGGTATTGCATAATTACAAAAATCGAATGCTGCAGCTTAGCGAGCCAGGCTTTAACATCGTGATATCGTATGATAACAATAACTTAAAAAGTGATATTTTGTTTTATCGTCATGAGTCTCAAATTCTTTTTATGTTCAAAAATACAGACACATACATGTACACATTATATTTACTTATCAGCGAGAGTACGTGCGATATTGATTTCTTATATAGATATTTTGAAGTTAACTATATTGATTTCGCGCACTCTTCGTTTATGTTTTCCATCTTATTATCGATCAGATTCAACCCAACTGAATTTTAACCGTGTTTGAGAGTAATTTTAAATAATTTGTTATATAATAAAATAACGAGATCTCATTTACTTTCTACTTGAATAGCAAGCTGCAGCTGGTTCACGATGCGACTATGCAATCTTCGCCGGCGCCTCATCGGATAATTACAATGATATACGGGAAATAGCACCGCATGTGGCCGCTCTGAAGATGTATCTGAACGAGACATTTACAACGCTCCGTCTCACCGATCTTACTGTTTGGATTAAGGTAAAGAAACGCTTGTAAAAAACGTAAAACAAATTCCATTTTTTAAAATATATTTTTAAGTTAATCTAGTTTATTTATAAATTTAATACGCACATGTCCCAGATATGTAATATTAAATATAATATTTATATTTCAAGTTACATGACTACTTCCTTTTTGCAGCATTTCGAAAGGTGGCCGAAAAAATATCCCTTATGCGTGCATGCCGAAGGACAAACCACAGCTGCGGTTCTCCTGCTGGCAAGTTTGCACAGCAGGCCGATTCACGTGTGTCACGTGGCGCGTAAAGAGGAAATACAAATTATTCGAGCCGCCAAAGAACATGTGAGTATTTAACACATATGAAACATAAGTCTGAATAATCATATGCCAAAAGTGTATATAAATAACAATAATTAATAATAGAAGAACAAGAAACGCTAAAGGTCAATTTTAATAATTTCGAAATTTATTATAATTAAGGCAACAGATATTTTTAAGTTTAGTAAGTGCTTATTATACATTTAAATTAAAAGATATCTGAATGTCAACCGGATATCCTTATAAATGTTCACGATTTGATGCATATGTATTTTTGCAGGGATTGGCAGTTACGTGCGAGGTGTGTCCGCACCATCTATTCCTTTGCCAGGCTGACTTGGATCGAATAGGCACTGGAAGAGGTCAAGTAAGGCCTACTCTAGGAACAAAGGAGGACCAACAGGCTCTCTGGGATAATATGGATGTTATCGATTGTTTCGCGACCGATCACGGTACGACAGCAAGCTTATCGCTATGACTAACTGTAATTAAGTTACGAGCCGTAATTTTACAAAATTCACGCTGCAGTCACGTAGCAGAATGAATTCAATTTAGTATCTCGAAACGATAACGACCAGCATTCTTCTATGATCCGGAGATAAAAAGGATCGACGTCCCATGTTTATATAACATTTACTTTGTTTTGCTTTTAAGTAATACAAGAATATTCTTTTTGTCCCGAGGCGGATTGATATTATATCGGATATTTGCAGTTGTTTAGAAATAATGAGCAATTAGCTCTCCGATAAAAATTAATGCTTTGATAATTCGCAAGATCACTGTCTATTTTTATTCAAGGATATTAATAATACAAGTTGCATCGCGAGGAATCACGCGATCGTACGTTATCTTTATAAATTGCACGTTTTTATTGAAACATTAATTTGCATTGTAAAGCCCCGCACACCGTTCAAGAGAAGTCTTCGGAGAAACCACCGCCAGGATTTCCCGGCTTGGAAACCATGTTACCACTCTTGCTAAACGCCGTACATGAAGAAAGGCTGACTATAGAGGTATTTTCTGTTTCAATTAATATAACTTTCAACAATGTCTGACTGACGTAATCAGCAGGGAATGTCGATAAGCACAAGGCACGATAACGCGAAAATTGCTCTCGAGAATGCGAATATCGTATACGTCATTTCGATTCTCAGATATGTCTCATACTTGACGTGACGTAATAAAATAGGCCATCTAAAACTTATCGAGAAGCAGTTCTTTACCTAAAATATAAATTTTATGTATATATTATTTTCATAAAATTTGAAAATAACGCATGTTTTGATTTTATGAAACCGAATACTGAATCGAAAACTGAAAAGTAACTTAATTGTTAGAAAGCAATTTCGCTCTTACGGAATTCTAAAATAATGATAGATGAATCTGACCGTTCATGAAAATAACACAAAAAGCAGAATCCTAAAATTTCTGAAGCTTTTCTTAAACGTGATTTAGCTTATCATCTTTCATTACAGATGAGCGCTATTATCTGATAATAAGTCTTGAAGATAAGTATCGCGCGAAGACTCTTATGACACTAATAGTAAAAATAAAGAGAGCGCTTGTCGATTTTTAAATTTACTAGATAGTTTCAATTGTAAAGTAAATATTATTAAAGCAATCGTTCTTGTTTAGATTTGTAATAAGAACGTTATCAATTATTTTATGAAAAAAATATATGCATTTAAATTTTAATAAAGTTATATACTACATTATTAGAATGTTATTGAAACCATTGTTTATTGATTACAGGACGTTATAGACAAATTGTATCGAAATCCCAAAAAGATCTTCAATATTCCCGATCAGCGTAACACATACGTCGAAGTCGATCTGGACGACGAATGGGTCATTCCGGAAGCAATGCCGTACAGCAAATCGAAATGGACACCTTTCACTGGCATGACAGTTCGCGGTTCCGTGCACAGAGTGGTCTTAAGAGGCGAGATTGCTTACATCGAGGGGCAGGTGCTGGTAAATCCTGGCTTCGGCCAAGACATCAGGGATATCCAACACAGTACGAAGGTTCCACCAACGCTCCACGCGCCGACGATATCCAGTCAGCTCACAGATATCGTCCACAAACCATTGGCACTAGACAGTCTCCCGTCGCCGAACTATGAAAAGTCTAACGCACATATTGATCGTGTCGATGTGCACGAAGACGAACAAGTCGGTACGATAATGCAAATATGAACTAACTATTGCGAAAGAATTGCACCGCATTACCAAACAACACGAAATAATCTAATGATAAAGGAATTTATCCTCTCCAGTTGGGATATTAAATTGTACAAAAATATTTTTTTAAATTAATATACATTTATTTTTTTATAATGTCAAACAAAGATCGTTCAACGTATTTGTAGAAACACGTTCGAAACCGATAGATATATTATACTTGCAAATAAAGTTGAATCATGAATATTTCTTCTCACTTAGCGTGCCTTGCTATTGCAAGAAAAAAAATTTATAACTTTCTATCGCGTAAAAATATAAGATGTGAAATTAAATTAATTTTTTGTATTTTCAGAGTTTACGCACCTCTTGCAACCAGCATCGCACAAATCGAACGTCCACTTCGCGCCGTACCCAGACGTTGACAAAGAATATTCCAAGACATTACCCCTTCAAAGAACTATCTCACCGTTGCCACCCATTAGCAGTATCACTAGACACAAAAGCGACAGTAATCCGAATCTGCTTATGACTGCCGTCGCGTCGGTTCCAATTGTCCATACAAGCAACAGTCTAGTCGGACATCACGTGCTCACCGTGGACATTTTTAACAAAGAAATATTGAAGGATGTGTTCCACTTAGCGGAAACTTTCCGAAATGCTATCAGGAAGGAACGATTGTTGGATGATATTTTAAAGGTAACTAATTAAGGGTTATACAGCTTCTTTTGCAAATAATCTGAAAATATACAGGAGTCATTATAAAATTCGAATTTTGTATTGATCACAAATTTTTAAATTAGGTACAAAAATGTTGCTTAATTACTTCTCTTAAAAAAATTAATATGATGTTTGATTAAGGGAAAGATCATGGCTTCCATCTTTTACGAAGTCAGCACGAGAACTTCTTGTAGTTTTGCTGCCGCGATGGAACGTCTCGGTGGTCGCGTAATATACATGGACGGTTCTACATCTTCTGTGAAAAAGGGCGAAACGTTAGAAGGTTGGTAGAGATCTTCTCTGAACAAAACCACGATCCTCAAAGAATGTATGTTGAAGTAAAAAATACTCCAACTAATCCCAATGTACAAAAAAAAAACTATAAAAAATGCATAACCTGAATGAATGCTTTTCTAATATTTCATTAAATATCCAATAAATTATTAAATTATTGTTTTTAGATTCGGTAACAGTTATGGCGGGATACGCGGACGTGATTGTACTCAGACACTCAGCGCCTGGTGCAGCTGCTGTGAGTATTGAAGTTTATAAGAGTATAGAGAAAAGCTATTTAATTTAAGACTATTTAATTTATATAATAATAACAACGCTCCTTTTTAAAGGTTTTATTTTTACGATTTTTCGTTTATAATTTTATTTGCAAATTTATTTTAATTAGTCTTCCTTACAAAAGCGAACAGTGTAACGTTATTGTGAATTCTTTGCACTTCACGAGTTTCTTCAAGTTATAATTAAAAAATACAAGAAATTCTTTTATATTTCCTAATCCTATATATTAATAATAATTTACAGAGAGTGGCGCAGCATTGTAGAAAACCGATATTGAATGCCGGTGACGGAACCGGCGAACATCCGACGCAAGCATTGCTCGACATTTTCACAATCAGAGACGAATTCGGAACGGTAAATGGTCTTACGATCACCATGGTGGGGGATTTGAAACACGGCAGAACCGTCCATTCTCTTGCAAGGTTAGTGCAACAAAAAAATTCCGCTCGTCCAAGGTAATCAATAAAAAAAAAAGAATGCGAGATACGGAAATATCATGCATAAATTTATACGCTCTATAAAGGGTTGATCGATCAAATTGTTTACACACATATGCATACAGTGTTTTGATTCTAAATTTAGATATAGATCTGTAAAAAGTGCAATTATGACATTTGTAAATATTTTCATCATTGATGTTTATTATTAGCAAAATATTCAACGTATGAAAATAAAATTGTGCAAAGTCTCGAAAACTATGACTCTAGACATTTTTATTAATTAAAGGAAGTCGATTTTAAATCAGAATATCTATTTTAAAAGATCATGGACTGTGAAAGAAGCATTGTAAAAGTAAAACAAATAAGATTTCATCAAACATGATTAAAGATCTAATCTATCTAATATATCAATAATAGAATATTGATATATTATTTTTAATAATAAAATAAATTCTTAAATGTCTCAAATATATACTCAAATACATATTAAGATGTACAATATCTCTAACTGATGATAAAAATGGAAGAAAACATAACTTCAAATAACAAGACAAAATTTATATAATTGTAAACTTTAAAATTAATTTCAGTCGCGAACAACTGAATTATTCTCTATAACAATTTATTCAAGCCAAGGCGTTTTCTTTTAACATACATCATTCATTGAATTCTGATATAGGCTGCTGACCCTGTACAACGTAGAACTACGCTACGTCAGTCCACCTGGCCTTGAGATGCCGAGTCACGTCAGTAAATACATAGCCGAACGTGGTATCCAACAAGAGAAGTTTGTGACTTTGGAAGAGGCATTGCCCGACACCGACGTGCTTTACATGACGAGAATACAAAAAGAGCGTTTTGCCACGCAAGAGCAGTATGATAAGGTGAGTCTTTGGTCTAGGATAAGGAGGTCTTTGGAGACATTACTCCAGCATTAAATCTACAAGTTTACCGCACCATTACACACTCATTCCCTTTTATTACGAAACACCCTGTTACGAACTATGTATATTTTTGTTAAAAATTATTAATGTTAATCATCCAAAATTATTAAAAATGATTAAAGTTATTAATTATGCTTGAAGTTGAGTATTATTTTATCTCGAGTCATCTCACTCGCTCTTACATATTCAGTACATGCTTTTAAATTAATTCTATGTAACATTATATTAAAAAAAAAAATCATTACATGTACGACAGATGTGCGGACTCTTCATAGTAACCCCGCAACTGATGTCCCGCGCGAAGAGAAAGATGGCAGTGATGCACCCTTTACCACGTGTCTTCGAGATAAGCAAGGAATTCGACACCGATCCGCGGGCGGCTTACTTCCGGCAAGCCGAAAATGGGGTCTACGTGCGCATGGCATTGCTGGCCATGGTCCTTGGACGTATTTGATTTAACCGTGGCCTTTCATCGTTTGTGGATCAAGGTACCTGCTGAAGAAGGTCAGTGATGTACGCCAAGGAAAACACACGCCTGCCATTTCGACTGTGATGCGACTCACGAGAACCAAACCGAATATCTTTCAAGCATTCCAGTAACAACCGTGACGAGTTTAGCAATTTAGATTCATAAAAGAGTACAAACTGAAGCATGAGATACAATCGACTACTGTAAATCGGTTCTTTATTAATTTCTTTTACTTTCCGTAAATAAATTCTTTCTTTTTAGATTTTTTAGATATTTTCAGAGTAATTTAGTTAGGTAGTTTTTTTTTTATTAAAATGACAGGTGAATTTTCACGAAACTTTGAAAAAAAAAATTATACATTGCAATAAAACTTTTAAAAATTATTTTCAAAGTAATTTGTTTACTTTTAATACGTAAAGCTTTAACTTTTATAATATTCGAATTTTTAAGAGACATCCTAGACGAAACAAGCTCCAAATTTAATTAGCAAAGTAATTAAGGCATTATCGTTTTTTAATACACATATTTTGCGTATAAAATGTATATAAAAGTTCCATATGAGAGATACATATAAAATGCATTACTTACACAATATATAAAAATTTTCTAATTTTATACTTGTAAAGATTTGAGAATCGTATCAGAAGATAGGCAAATATAATATTCTTATCGAATCTTTTCAATATTATCTATTACTATACTAACGTCAGTTCTATCAGTGCAAGTATTACAAGAATTTTTGGAAAATGATACCAAATTGTACGACGTGATAATACTTAGAAATATTTTAATATTTGTTTAATTATTCTACAATTTATGGATATTTATAATGTCTATTATGTTATTTTATAGTTTACTTTGCATTTTTACATTGCAAGCATTATGGTCACGTCAATAATTTTCAAATATAAAAGATTTCCATTGCCTATTACGTGTATATTAAATACATTTTAACAAAATTTAAAATACATTGTGTATATAGACTTGCACGCATTTGTCACACAAACACACAAATACACACACACATTATTTACATATAATTATAAAATAGTATCTATAATTTTTAGCTGTAACACATTTTGTTAATTATAATGTCTCCTTTTCTTTCACACTATAATTAATGCTGTTTAGTCAAAAAGATAGATATTATAAGAAATAGTGAAAAGTCTTTCAATTTCAAGAGAAGAAAATAGAGAAGGTGCTAGGAAGAATTGCAAGCGCCACGATTAAAATAGGCGAAAAGTTTATCGTTTGATTACACACACGATTTAAAAAATACCTTCAAAGTTAAATGGGATAAACATTTGCTGAGCACAGTTTTCTTTCGAAAAATAAAATATCTTTTAGTCAAGGAAAGAATAAACTAAGCAATGTGTGATTCGACACGTTTGCAAAGTGGTATGTAATTGGTGTAATGTGATCGTATAATGTAATACTAGATTAAATCCGTGAAACTCAAGAATGAGTATCTTGTTAATGCTATGTTTAACATTATTGAAGAATTTTTATATTATTTCATACATGCGTTAAATTTAACGCATAGTATGTATATGATGCGTGTGTGTGTGCGTGGGTGTGAGTTGGTTATTATATTAAAAAAATATACATGTTATTAGACTTAATAAGCAGATTATATATTAGAAATTGGATTGGTGATATGAGTAATAATACTTTACAAAGAATAAGACAATATAGGTTTATACATAAACAAATTTTAATTCTCATTACTAATATTTATGTACACCATCAATATGCAAAATGCAAAATATATGTTCATAGATAAACAAAATATTCATAGATATTCGTTCAATCATAACAATTTAAACAATACCTTTGGCGTAGAAAATAATGGCGTATATAATTCATGCGCGTGTGTGTTATATGAATATATAAAATCTCTTTCCGCGCGATTTCTGCGGAAAAATTCTTTGGTATAAATATTCTTCAAGGTTAAGTGTGAGAAAGTTTTACATTCTTCCTTTGTAGAATTATCAATAAATCTGCTGATATATTAATAAGTAAATTTATTTCAATCTATGTATTGTTGTATAAGAAAAGAGTCATAAATAATTTTTAATTACAATAAATTAACACTTGTTAATCAATTTTATAGATTAATTTCGTCGATTATTACGGCCAGTCTTTACAAATAAACAATATGTTTTAAATTAGAATTATCTGTAATATTGATAACAAAAGAGATTCTCTTCAGAAAAACAGGTATCATGAAAAATATATATTTTAAAACCTATTTTAATGATATCATATATATTATTTTCTTTGATATTCGGTTAACAAAGGCACACTTGTGTCTATATGCTGCTTTAAATGCTTGTGTGCATATAAATTTCTCAAAAGTCTAATCAAAAGCCCAATCAACTCCACTTTTTACAAATTTCTTAATTTTAATACCATAACTAATTATATTAGTTTTGGTATTAAATTTCAACGAATTTTTTTACTATTTATTTTACGGAATTAATCAGTTAGGCTTTCGTACATTTCTAGATGGTGTTATTTTTTTAGAAGCACATGTGATACCGCTTGTCTCTATATTATTTGTATTATTGCATTGTGCTAAAAATAAACTTTGAGTATATATATATACATAAAAAATCAAAAATATTTTTTTAAATAATTGAAATCCTATTATTATCAACGTAAGTAGAGAACATAGGTAGCAGATATTTTTAAACCACAGTGAAGTTTACCATAAAACTTGTTTTCGCATTTATTTTCCGTAAAAGGCACTGTAGTTAAAAAATTGTTTACAACTGTGAACACTTAATCGCATTTGTTGCATCATGCTGGAAAGCAGCAATTTTCATATGCAATTACCATATTATTATTACTCTTGTTATTTATATCTCAACTATAAAGATTTCCTGTCCAATAAGGCTATATCGACAATATTCATAAAAAATTATATGACTAAATTTGTAATTATAGATTAAATATACGATGATATTTATTCCTATACACAAATAATGCTATTTACTTATTATTACAAAAATATACATGCAATCGCTTGAATTTGTTTCGAAACTGCAACATTTAAATCTTGTGTTTATTCAGATTTTTTTCATTTTAACCTTTATTTAAATTTTTTTGTATATTAATATTTACGGTTTTTCCTCACTACAAACGTGAATCAATAAATATCGGGGATAAAAGAAGAGAACGATATACGTCAGAGAATTAATCTCGCGCATATTGAGAGTGTTCTGCAATATGTGCAGTATTTCAGAAAGTGCATTTTGACCAAAATGGAAGCTCAAAGAATGGTGTTTACTGATCAGACATTGACGTCATCTTACAGAATATTGCTTCTCATATAATATACATATGTATGCAATTAAATCTAAGACGATTTCTTGCATTTCAAATAAACTGGTTTTCTTGCATATCGCCGCTAACGTTGAATAGAATATTTATGTACAAAATATTATGCGATAAATTTATATATTTTATCTATGAGTTATCTAAATTGTCTATTGGTTGCAGAAGATAAGTATATTATTGTGCAGATTAGCTTTAACTGTAAGTCGCCGTTTCCGAATTTATCAACTCTATTACGAAGTACGTATCATTAAATCATGTATCTTTGATGAACAATAGGCATGTCTCTTCGAAAATTATGACTAAAGGTATTTTTCAACACACTTCTCCTATAATTCTCACACTTTTCAGTATTAAATACTAGCTAATCATGAGACTCATAGATTTCAAATTTTTCATAAAAAGTCTTTATAAAACATGTATTACAATTTTTCTTAAAATTTAACGTAATTCTTCCGAACATCAAACTATAGCATCCCTTGCCTTGAACTCGGTATCGTCGGCACCATTGGAATACATATTCGAAGCTAAAGCTTTCACATCATCTTTTCGGCCTTTTCGCGTGAGCGGCGGCATTTTTAGCCTCAGTCTTCTCTTCTTCAAGGAATCTTTCTCTCTGCAATAATATCCGTTATAACAATAATCGATTTTATTTTCGTTCTACGAAACGTTCTTTTGTGGCATGAACATCATCCCGTCTAAGTTTACACCGTGTATCTAAATATAAGAACTTTCTATTGTGCATACTAATGAACGACGCTCTCGCTGTTATTTGCAAAAATTGTTTGATCAACAAAATACAGGTGTTTTGAAAAAGACTCATTGTTACGTACTGGTGTTTGCAATCTATGAAGATACCCATCGAGAACAGCACCACTATGGCAACGATGATGCCGATCACAACGACCACCAACGTCACAATCGCATCCTCTTCCTCGACAGTGAGGGATGCCTCTGACGTGGGCACGTACGCTGAAAGAATCGTAAGGAAATGTTTGTAATGCTTCGCATTGCGTGCGAAAAGGCGTCACTCGTTTCGCACGAGTGGTAGCTGCGTTTTATCCCGCATGATGCTTAAATTTTTCATCGACTACAAATGTCTCCTATTCTATTCTAATCCTTTAATAAAACTTGTACCGTTTAAAATAGCACTAGACAGAACTTGTCAGAAATAATTAACAGCTCGTATCTATATTGAAACACGTAAAAGAGTTATACGCGATAGCAAAAGCTGCACTATAGATATTTTTTGCAACTAACACGCATCAGTTTCATGACCATTGCAAGCTAAGAAGATTGAATGTATCTAGAGACGAGAAAACGTGCCGGTGATGGAACGTCAAGGATTGTACAGTGACGTAATATCCGATAAGAGCCGGTGTCTCTTATGCGAACATGGATATAAAACCTGTGCTCCACTATAATCGTGGCGTTGATGCTTTAAACACAGTAGCCGACAATTCTACCATATAAATGTTTAAAATTCAATTTCAATATATTGAGTATATTATATTTTTATGGGATATAATTATTACCTATACTTTAATTATATAATTTATTTTATTACACATAGGTATCATATATAATTATATTTTGATATATTGAATGTTAACATATATTGACAAATAATTACTTAAGTAAGAAAATTGTTCTAAGCGGAAAATACACAGTTGTTATTTTAAAACAAATATAAAATTATTAATTTATCTCTTAATTATTTGAATTTTTAATACTAAGTTCACTTAGCACTTATATATCGGAAATAGACAAAGATTTTAAAAAGTTATTTATTGCTCAAATAGGTAAGTTTTCTTAGGCCTGTCGTTCGTAAGAGAGTAATATTCTGCTAAGAGTGTTTGCGTGAAAGAAAATTAGTTACAAGATTAATCGTGCTTGCCTGCAATTTTCATTCTTTCTGTTCACTATCGCGTAACGGCCGTTCTGTTATTAACAGAATTATTCTGTTTCCTAGAGAAAGGTGCTCTATGAAGGTGCTGATACGCCACGTTAATCAGAGACGAGCAACTTTAGACGAGAGGCGTTTTCACTATGCTGCACGTTGTGTTTGTTGAAATCGATGTTGCTGTCCAATAAATTTCATGCGTTTATTTAATTTTTCATGTTACATTCACCGATATTTCAAATAAACTGTATATTTAAAATACTATTAAAATAAAACGATAATATTACGTATTTGGAATAATACATTTGTCAAAGCTATAATTAGAAAAATTCAAGATTAAAGTTAACATTACATTTGGATTATTCCTATTACCGTCATGTCAGGCGTAAGTTAATTACGTAAATTAATTACGAAATACATGTTACATTAAAATATGCATCCGATTCGAAAGTTGAACGGAGAGAGAGACATGAAAATTCGGACGCCTTCTTATTACGCAATAAAAGATCCAACAGGTTTTGTTGTTGTCGCGCTTGTGCGCGACGATCAGTATACAAATACTGATCGATATTTTTGTCAGTTTCATGAGACCGGTAATAAATGCGCATATCCACAGCAATTTTGTGAACATATACATGCACAAACCAAATCCATCCGCGTGATAAGTTTTGTTTTTTTTTGCGGTTTGCGACACGCAGAAAAGAGTGACCATAACAAAAAAACTTTCCTCATCGAGCTGTAAACGTCGTGAACAATATTATTCCGTTAGAATAAAAAAAAATTGAACGACGTTTTAAAAAACAGATTATTACGGGAAAGCAAGATCTTTTACAGAAAGCTAAGTCCATCTTAAGATAAAGCATTTAAATATATAAAAACATGCACAAATACAAAAATAAATATGTGGAGGACAGTTTAAATGCGCGTGAAAACTAAAAACACTGCGTGCAGTGCTACCTTTATGACTACAGCATTAAAAAAATTTTTGCGCGATTGCATTTTATCGTGGTATTATATTTCGCTTGACGACTCGTTCTTGATGATAGTGCATTTGACCCAGATACATTTCGCTCTGACTTACGACGATAATTCAATTGCAAAGGAAACATTTCAAAAAAAATTACATAAATCTAACAGAAAAATATAGCAAGTCAGGAATTTTTTGACAAATGTTAAAAAAATTATGTAAATAATTTTTCGAGAAACAAAAGTATTAAATTTAGTAGACATTAATGTGAAGTTAAGAAATATTTAACAAAAATAAAGGAGTCAACAATCTTTTCCAAAAGCGAACCTACTGCGAGATAGGCTCATGCCTCTCCGTATACCTGCGGCGTTTTCAGAGACCGTACACGCGGAATTTCCTTCAACGTCACAGGCTGCGTCCCCGTGGAATTTGTCTCGTCGTCATCGAGACAACCGGCTTTCGTTCCAGCCGCTTTCTGATGCGTTCGCAGCCGTTACTTTGCCAGCTCTCTCAAGCACGGGATCGCAGCATCGGCATGAGACTCACGTGACGCAATTCCGCAATATGCAACGCAACGACGGGCTCACGGATCGAAATGCTCGCGTGCGTTTACGATTCAACCTTCTCTCATTGGCAACGCGTCCGATCTGTCGATACGCGAGTCGCTATAAGTCTCTCAAGGTCTCGGCGAGAATTAATTAGAGATCTCTCGCGGATGCTGAATGACCACTCTGCTTTGTCTGGGACGCGGGCTACTTTCCAAGCTCTTACGTTTCCTTTTCCGCTTCTTCTCACCTGTGTACATTTCGCATCGCTAACTTTTCTTAACCATTGTCATATCGAGTTAAAGATTACATCTTACATCTTACATCGTCCTTGACAAATACACAGTGCTTCAACATCCAATATCTTTTTTATGTTTTCAATGTTTGCTAAATAAATCGAATTTACAAACACATTGTGAAAACAGGAGTCTATTTATATCGGCTATCCCCTATCACGAAGCCTACTTTCACTGATTAACGCATTTTCACTCACACACTTTATGCATTTATTAACCTTTTTAATAATTAAAATTTTTTAATAATACTACCGATAAGCTGCACGCCATTGCATTTCAGATAAAATATCAGCGATTGTTGTAACAGCTTAAAGATTGATTGAATACTAAAGAACTGATATTAAAGTTGATTGAAACTAATTAATGGAACACGAGCAATTTATAATTATTTGGTCGTGATTAGTGTTCGACAAATGCGATAACATCTGTAAGCACATACATTATCGTGTTAGTTCGTAATAATTAAGCTGTCCCGTTAACGAGAATTCCGATGTTCTCAAACAAAGCAGACATACGTTTTTTTTATTGTTTTTGTAACGGCAATAGCTGAGCATCTCTCAGAAGTGTATATCCATGTTACAATGCAAATATTAAACATTGTCATTGAGCTGTTTATTATTTGTATTGAAGAAAGCCTTAAGTTTTTATCTCGGTCACAGTTTCTTAAATTTTTCGATGTACAAAGGTTTTCCTAAGTCGTTTGAATAAAAATTTAGATTTGTCTTTAAGAATTCTTCTCTTCGAGATTTCAAATATTATTTAACATTATTATTTTCAATTTTTAGTAATAATTTACCATTAGCGTTGTTTATTTAGACTTTTCGTCATCTGACATATCATAGTTTTATGATATCAGAAAGCTCCTTAATTTAAACTTTAATAGATAATACATAAATAAGTGAAATAATAATTTGAAATACTACTTAATTACTTTTTTTTACTAAGCTGTAAGTACTACCTTCTGTATTTATGCTGTGGTTCACATTCCTAACACGCGCTTCCATCCTTCGTCACTTCTCCTTTGCGAGAAAGAGGAACAATTCTCAATTTCTTCCACTTCTCGTTTCACGTAATCCTGGTTAAAGAAAGGTCGGCAGGAAACACGAGCAAATACCGGCTTCGATGATTCGGAGCACTTCCGAATTCCCCGGCGTGATCGAGATCTTGAGGTAAACTGTCAGTCACGACAGCCACACGCCCGCGGTCGTGCGATACGCTCGGCGAGGCGCCAACGAGAGTGACGGAAAGGAAGGTCGGAGCAAGGGAAAGAACGTAGAGACAGCGAGTGTGAGGAAGGGGGAGGACACTTGAGGAAGTGAAACAGACATGCACGTGTACGAGATTCGGAAGGGATAGAGAGGAGAGAAAGAGAGAAAGAAGCACCATAGAGACATGTCGCGAGATTCGTGCGATTCTCATTCACCATCCCGGGTCCAGGTATACCCTGGTTCGAATTGAAACTCCTTGTACAGTCTAAAAGAAAACGCGAGACATAACTGATAAAGACAACAAACAACTTTCTATAAAAAAATTAAATCCATTAACTGAAGACTTGTCTTGTAAATTCATACACTTTGGAAATAATTATATTAAACTCCTGAAATTTTATCCATTTCGTCCAATTGTAAATTATAACAACAAATAAATATAATAAATATTTGTTTATCCCCCTGTATTTGTAAATGTAAATTGTATAAGCATTCGCTTTCGGATAATACTTATATATATGTATGTGTGTGTGTGTGTGTGTGTGTACATGATAATTTTTAAAGTGTTTTATTCGTATAATTTATATTAATAATTGTTACCCGTATTATTATACAAATCAGATGTTATTTGTCGTGCAATGTTAAGTATACTAATCGTTATTATTTTCAAATTTAATTTTTTTGAGAATGCAGCTTGTTAATATTTGGAAATATTACGTCAAAGCGGTAATTGAATACACTCATCATATTTCTTATTGATGTTTATTTCATGTCACGTATGCATTAACGTAATGAAACTGTATAAGTCTCCAGATGATTCATCAATCATTTTTTAAATACTGCCCATTTTGTCATGCACGTAAATGCGGCAGCTCTATGACGCACCAAATTTCAAGGGAATATTGATTCAGTAAGCATGACAGATACGCCTCCAATTGATAAGCAATACTACAAATGGTTGCTACGATTACGTGTAATCCATAAAATCGATTTGATCCCGGCTTATTATATTTAATCAACTAAAATGTCGTCATTCAGAAAAATTTATGAAAAGAACGAAATAATATGGGCATTTTGAGATTAATTTGTTATATACGTATGTAACTTATCAATATTACAATGGCAGTGTAATAATGCTACTTAATTAACTTTAATAATATTATTAATTAGTAACTATTTTGTAACATTTTATATTATAATTAATAATATTTTATAACATTATTAATCAGTAAATTAACGCTCAATTTAACATTAAATTCTTTTTCGAGAAAATCCGTTCTCTAGAATATCGTTTAACGTTGTCATGTGTGTAAGCATTTATATAATTGCCACATCTTGTCACAGAATTATACAGCTGATAATCCCGTGATTATGGTAATTCATCTTCCTGTTTTGTAATGCACAAAGGATAAATAAGCATCTGCTCCGTGCAATACTCCCACGACGCCGCTTAAAATCTGCAATAAAAATCTATCACTTTTGACATTCTTTTAAATAAAATACTCCTGAACAATTAAAAATGTCTAAATCAAAATTAATGTTCTACTAATAAATATTCGCTTTTAGCATAATGATATATCATATCGGACATTCAGGATTATATCAGCAAAAGTTATTTATAATTCTTTTTCTCGATTCTTGTCTCTGATTAGGTGAACAAATCATGACGCAAATTAGTGAAAGCGTTAAGTCTGCGATTTGCGATTGCACTAAAAAAACTTACATAAGCGGCTGTCATGGCAGGATAAACGTCGAAGCCGGGTCTCAGATAATACTCGGTCATCAGAAATAATTTAGTGGCAAAAGCCAAGTAAGATGCTGAGCTTAAATACAGGAAGCAGGCTAAAGAATTGAACATCATCTCCTGATATTGATAAAAAAGCAAAAGTGTAACGCATAATTCCTGAATTATAGCAATTATAATGGCGATAAGAATATTATTTAAATTATGTGACAAAAAATGGTAAATATTAACATTTTAACAAAAGTAATTATTTAAGATCATGGGATTATTTAAAATAGATCTCTTCGTATATAATATTTCATTATCGTTTAGGATAGATAAATACGTACGAAAAGGGATGATCGAATTAACTTGTAAGATTTTTCAGAAATTGTATAGCAAGCGAGTAACAGAGCGGAAGTCAGGAAGCAGGCGGATGCCGTGGTCAATGATCCCTCGAAAGCCGAGCCAATAGATGAACTATACCTCAAGCCGTAATTAATGAGCAAACTCTGAATTAATCCACTGATCACCTGGAATTAAAATTTTAATTAAAACGTTGTAAAATATATTTTAAAAGTCATATACAATGTATATATCTCTTTGTATACATACGTATATACACATATATTATTATATACGTGTAACTTTTCAATGTAGATGTAGAATTTAAGAATTATATAGTCATAATTAAAGGTTTCATAAATTATTTCATAAAAGGTTTCATAAATGATTTCAAAGATTAGCAAGTGATTAGGCAAATAGATATAAATTTTTATTATATGTACATGTATATTTTTAAAGAATCTGTCTTACAACTCTTTCAAACTTTGCAAATGCCAAATAACATACATGCAACTGTAGTTACTTACTGTTTCGCACATTTTTATAATTCCTGGCAATGATTTAAAGAAATCCACGTGTATGCACGTGCAGCATCTGAAACAGCAGCAACCGACACCACCCGCGCCGTGTGTACCAGAGGATGACATCCTGATTATAGGTCCCATATTGTTCATGACTATAATTTCGTGTTGCCAGACAGTTAATTTAATGCTTGTTTCTGTATAACGAGCTGCGTTAAATTTTCTCGTTTATGACTTCTCCGACGTTCTTTATCGTGATCTCTCCAATTAGTATTTAAATGCCCGTCCTCTTTCTCCTTTTATTGTCTCTTCCTCTGAGATAATTGAATTTACCACAATTGCCCACTTTACGTTCAAAAATAATATTTCTTTAAATAACTCTCTTGTTACAATAATCAAAACGAAAAATGTAATCCGTTACACAATAAACTATTTTCACTCTTTAAGCACAAACACAATTTTTCGAGTTACATCGAATTTTGTCAAATTTATAATTAAACAAGAAGAAAGAAATATAATAGAATAGTTAATAAAAAATCTTCAATACAATTGTATCAAAAGAACTCTATGGACAATACTGTGCGTATATATTGACAGATTTAAATATTTTTACAATTTAATATTTAATCATTGAACTCTTTCGTCCTCTGTTAGCAATTTTTAGAAGAACACAGAGCGCGATCACGACCGGCGATACTTTTAAACTGACTGAGGGTGTAGGCCCGAGCATCCATAAAGTCTGAATGTCGTTGCACCCCCCCGCATAGCACGCGACACAAGGGAAATTACTGTCTATTTCTGGCACGTGCCGCTCACGCCAGAACTCGGAATGTTTTGCCCGCCTGCTTGGGCAGACAGAAACAAAAAAAAAACTCGAACAAAAGGTAACAACATAAAAACATGTATTTTATATAATTTTTATAAAACATAATTGTACTTACAAATTGAAAAAAATAAATAATTACATTTTTTAAATGTCATATATAATTACGTGTTTGTAACAAAAATACTTAACAGTATATATTTTCAAAAAATTAATTAAAACATAAGTAAATGTCATGCCAAGTATCAAATGTAGTTCGACAATGAAAATTCGTTGTACAATGTTTGTATATTTATTCAATTAAATAAAGTTCCTCAGATATACAAGTTTGGTTTAATTGTAAAGGGCACAATTTGTATGCTAATAGAATCTATTTTCACTTTTCACGATACTATAATACAATAATACGTGATTGTTTAATTTAATTACTTCATATCGTCCTCCATTTCGTCATATAGGCGAAGCCCGCACTGAAGATATATAAGAGAGTGTTTATCAGACCACAAATCTAAAAAAAAATTAATAAATTATTTTGTAATAGGGTCTAAGAATGCATGCACATAGATTTAATATACGATTACAGAATATATAACATGTCTAGCAAACCTTTTTTTATAAACCTGATACACTCTAATTGAAAGATATTGATTGTATTTGCAAATTTAATGAACCAACTATATATTTCTAAATAAGCATTTTATTTGTGTGTATGTATGAAACATAACACAATGCTTATACAATTTTAATTTCTAGCATTAAAATTTTTTATAAATATAAAATTATATCTACTTACAGAAGCTGCTAATAACTCATTGTAGTTATAAAACTCTGTATTAGCCAAATGTATTTCCAGTATCAGAATCAGTGAGGCCACAAATAATATTACGGTTGCAAAAAGATGATAAAGGCGTTCCTAAAAATAAAAAAAAAATAATAATTTTTAAAATAAATTATGTTAAACAGCTCTTCTTGACAATTTATTTTGAATATTATTTAAACATGTTTTAGCTCTTAAAACAATCTTTTTTTAACTTATAAACAGAACAAAAGTAATAAATAAAATAAATATACATGTAACAAATCAATATAATTGAACTTAATTGAAACTTACATGAATTGTTTTAGGTAAAACGGATGCAGTAAAAGGTGACACCAGGTAACTGATAAGAAAAATAAAAGTGCCAATAAAAAAAGTAGATGTTGCAATAAGAAAGAAGCATTCTTTCCAGCATAAGCAGGAAGCGCTATTATAATCACTTCCGATAATTCCTATGCAAATTGCACCCAACACCTGTTAATTAAAAATTATGAATATTAATTAGAGACGTAATATCTCATATAAAAATTAACAAGAAATATGCTATTCCTAAGTAAACA